TCAGCATGTCTGACCAGGAAACTCTATGGCGGCTCTCTGTCTGCCCTTCTTTCCATCATTCAATTCTGTCTACTCCACCTACCTAAGTTTTGCCCTATCAGGCCAAGCAGTTTCTTTATTAATTAACCAATGAAAGCAACACACAGACAGAAGGATCTCCTACACCAAACGTGGACACTTCATACAGGCACATAGAAATATATACAAGAATAAAAATAATTAAAAAATAATTTAAATGCTGGGTGATGGTGGCACATACCTTTAATCCCAGCACTTTGGAGGCTGAGGTAGGAGGTTCTCTGAGTTCCAGGACAGCCTGGTCTGCAGAACAAGGCCCAGGACTGCCATGGCTGTTACAGAGAGAAACGCTGTCTTGAAATAAAAAAATACAAAGAAATACTTTAATAATATTTTAATGTTTTTATGAGTATGAATGTTTTTTAAAATATTTATTTATTTATTATGTATGCAATATTCTGTCTGTGTGTATGTCTGCAGGCCAGAAGAGGACACCAGACCTCATTACAGATGGTTGTGAGCCACCATGTGGTTGCTGGGAATTGAACTCAGGACCTTTGGAAGAGCAGGCAATGCTCTTAACCACTGAGCCATCTCTCCAGCCCAAGTATGAATGTTTTGCCTGTATGGACACATCTGTGTACCACATTTGTGCCTGGAGACCATGGTCAGAAGAGAGTATCAGATCCCCTGGAACTGTAGTTACAGATGGTTATGAGCCACCGTATAGGTGTTAGAAACTGAACCCAAGACCTCCGCAAGAGCAAGGACTGCTCTAAACAGCTGAGTCAAATATCCAGCCTCATATATAGGATAGGGTTTCTCTCTGTAACTGCCTGGCTGTCCTGGAACTAACCTTGAACTAACTGAGATCTGCTTGCCTCTGCCTCCCCGTTGGCTGGGCTTTAAACCTTGCGCCAGCACACCTCGGCCATCTTAGACTTTCTGTTGCTGTGAAGAGACGCTATGACTATGGCAACTCTTATAATGAAAACATTTGAGTAGTGACTTAGCTGCTGGGAAGCAAAATGTGACTGCCTTGCCAAAAAAGGTACAAAGCCACATGGCCAACATAGACAAGAATTATGGGTTAATATAAGTTATAAAAGAAAATAAGAGAAGCCTGAGATATTAGGCCAATCAGTTTATAATTTAAAAAAAAATAAAACATTTATTTGGGGTGGATATCTTAGATTTCAGAGGTTCAACCTATTATCATCAGGGCAGGGAGTATGGCAGTGTACAGGCAGATGTGGTGCTGGTTACATCTTGGCCAGATGGCCACAGGAAGTGGAATGAGACTCTAGGCAGTATCCTGAACACAGGAAACCTCAAAGCCTGCCCCTACAGTGACACACTCCCTCCACAACACAAGGCCATGCCCCTTCCAACAAAGTCACACCTCCTAAGAGTGCCACTTCCTATGAGATTATGGGGGCCAATTACATTTAAACCACCACATTCGACTTTTAATTAAATAAAAATAATCTCTAGGGACTGGTGAGGTGGATCAGTGGTTGGGGGCACTGATTGCCCAGAATCAATTCCCAGCACCCACATGACTGCTCACAACTTTCTGTAATTTCAGTTCCAAGAAAACTGACACCCATGGAAAAACACCAATGCACATAAAATAAAAATAAATAAAACTAAAAAAAGGAATAAATGTCTCTAAAATATAGTAAAGGGCACTACAGAAACAAATGGCAAGGAAGAAATCTTCTCAAAAGCGAGTATGTGGGGGGCTGGAGAGATGGCTCAGAGGTTAAGAGCATTGCATGCTCTTCCAAAGGTCCTGAGTTCAATTCCCAGCAACCACATGGTGGCTCACAACCATCTGTAATGGGGTCTCATGCCCTCTTCTGGCCTCCAGGCATACACACAGACAGAATATTGTATACATAATAAATAAATAAATAAATATTTAAAAAAGTGAGTATGTGGGACTGGTGTGGTGTTGCATGGTTTTAATCAAAGCAAAGGCAGAGAGATCTCTGTCATTTCAAGGCCAGCTTGGTCTACAGAGCAGGTTCCAGAAGAGTAAGATCCAGTCTTAAAAAAATCAAATATAGTGCCGGAGAGAAGTGGCGCACGCCTTTAATCCCTCCACTCAGGGGGCAGAGGCAGGCAGATCTCTGTGAGTTTGATGCCAGCCTGGTCTACAAGAGCTAGTTCCAGGACAGCTAGGGCTGTTACACAGAAAAAAATCTGTCTCGAAAAAAAAATTTAAATCAAACAAAACACTGAGTATATGTGCTTGTCTACTCCCTCCTTGAATTGCTCAGATTCTAACAGCCTGTGCAAACCCAGGCTGGGGAAGGATGGTTTGAGTAGCTGTGGTCTAGCAGAGAGACCAGCTAAGCAGCAGGTTGTAGCCAGATGCAGTTGCTCTGAAGGGAGTCCGAGCACTGGTTTCCCTACAGAACCCTCCCTGGAGGAATTTCCCTTCCCTCTGCCATCTCTCCAGCCTTCATTTTTATTCACATGTAGGAAAACACCTAAGAAATAAGCTAAAGTCGATCAAAGCATTCACACCCTGCTGTGTTATCAATGGGAGACAGTCTAGGTCGTATCTCTCCACCCAGAGAAAGGCTGAAGAAGTCTGGGACTGAGCCTACTGTCTTCATTAAGTCTAAACAAAGACATATCTGGAGGGAAGGAGGGATGAAGAGAGGAAAGAAGAAAGAAGGGAGGAAGGAGGGTGGAGAAGGGAGGAAAGGTAAAGAGAAGAAGGGGAGGGGAGGGGGAATGAGAGGAGGAGAAGGGCGGAGGAGGAGAAAGGAGAAAAGAACAGAGGAATTTCCATGCTCCCTAAGGCTAAGACTTACCCTTTGAGGATCTCAGGGAGGAGAGACTGAAATGGTACCTACAGAGGGGCACCTTACAAACAAGTGTCAAGCATCCCATATGCCTCTAAGTCCCCAGCATCTTATCTTTTCTGTCCTCAGAGCCAAGAGCTGTGAAGCTTGGGAAAGAGAAGGAAGCATGCCAGGGGACAGTTCTGCCAAAGGCTGAACTACTGTGCCGCAGGGAATAGGACCCTGCATCTTCCCAGACACCTGTCTGGAGGGAGGGGAGCAGGAAAGAGGACGAAGCATCTAAATCTGAGGCTGGGGTCAGGACAACAACACCGACAAGCTATTTGCTCCCGTGAGTACAGTGCTGATCTCCAAACACTGGAACCTCAGAGCTGCAACACCAGGCCCTCATGCCTGTCTACACCCGCAACTCTTGGTCTAAACAAGAAGTGTGTACACTTGAACTTTTATATTCCTGACATGTCGACAGAGAGCATGGACCTACTGCCTTGGCCCAGGATCTTTCTGTACCTGCACTGGAGGAGGATAGCATGAGAAAGAGTTGCAGAGATATCCTGGGGAAGACTAGCCTTCAAGAAGTCCTCCCAGGAGACAGAGAAAGAAGTCTTTTTTAAAAAAAGATTTATTTATTTATTTATTTTTAAATTTATTTATTATGTATATAGTGTTCTGGGCACCAGATCTCATTATAGATGGGTGTGAGCCATCATGTGGTTACTGGAAATTGCACTCAGGACCTCCAGAACATCAGTCAGTTCTCTCTTAACCTCCTAGCCATCTCTCCAGCTCCCAGGAAGTCCTAATAATACATATGCCACCTTTTTGTAATATCATTTGACCCATACCCCCTAAGCACAAAACAAAGATCACCACAAAACACTTCTTTAAGCCGGGCGGTGGTGGCGCATGCCTTTAATCCCAGCACTCGGGAGGCAGAGGCAGGCGGATCTCTGTGAGTTCGAGACCAGCCTGGTCGACAAGAGCTAGTTCCAGGACAGGCTCCAAAACAAAAAAAAAAACACTTGTTTAGAAACACACACACAAACACACTCACACACAGAAAAACAGAAATAATAAAGGGAGGGGGGAAGATAGAAAATCAGAAAGAATAAGAAAAAAAGAAAGAAGAAATGGAGGCCATTAAGACTTCACAGCTAGTTTTCTGTTATTCTAGTAAGAAGTCAGTCCCTATGCTCAGTCATCCTCACCCCAAGTCAAAAAAGTTGGAACTGAGCCCAGGAGTTTCAGTTGGCTACTGCTTCATGCTCTGTGTTATCATACATTTATTTCTGCAGTGCTAGAACTGAATCCAGAACCTTCTTCAAACTGGGTAAACATTCTGCCATCCAGTTACACCCCAGCTTCTTTGCTATTATTTGCTCATATTAGAAAGATGGGGTCTCTCTTTGCAGAGACTGACCTTGAATTCCTGGGATCAAGCAAGCCTCCTGCCTCAGCCTGCTAGGATCCGAGGTTCCTCCTGTACAACACCAAAGTCAGCTCTCAGCATCTTTCCTTTGCATCCATGGGAGCCCTGGGCAGCTGAGATGCAAGTCAGAGAATCTGGTGCCCTGTTCCTGCAGTTCCCTGCACTTAGAAGGCTGACCAGGGGGTTGACTTGAGCCAGAGGATCCAGGTCAGCCTGGTCATCAGAGCAAAACCTGTTCACACAAAAGGAGGAAAAAGAGAGAGAGGGAAAAGAAAAGCCAGGAGGAGCCAGGAAAGGAGAGAGTAGACAAAGGGACAAGAGGGAGGAGGGAGAAAAAACAGGGAGAGGGTTTCTCTGTGGGACCCCAGCATCTACCCTTCTTGTTCCCAAAAGAAGAGTGTGGGGCAGAGCAGGGAGTGTGTGGGTTAGGAAAAAGAGTGAGAAGCTGAGACCCAGAGCAAGGAGGAAGGGTGGGCACTACTCAGGCTGGTCTGAGTAACTGCCTTCTCTGCACAAGGCTTTGGGACTCTTACCTCTTTTCCAAAAACACATCATTGAAAGCAAAGGAAGTTATCAAGGAGCACCCCAATGGGTGATAAGGATTGTCTACAGGCAGTGGATGCCTATCGTCAACTCCCCAACTCCGGGCACCCCTTGCCTGCTTTGCTCTGCAGTGAACCACCCTAGTGAGCCAAAGAGGGCCACCCCAAGGGTGTGTCCCAGACACAGCAGGTATATAAGAGCAGCAGCTGCAAGTTCAACACACTCCTGATTCTGACAGACACAGGAAGAAATTCATCATGGTGCTCTCTGGGACCGACAAGAGCAACATCAAGACTGCCTGGGGCAAGATTGGCGGCCATGCTGGTGAATATGGCGCCGAGGCCCTAGAGAGGTGAGACCTCTGCTCTGTAAGGGCCATGGAATCCAAAGCAGACAGGGTGCACAGAGGACAGCCCTTAACTGTGCTTTCCTGTGACCTCAACTCCTCCCCCCACCTTCTTCCCACAGGATGTTCGTGGCATACCCCACCACCAAGACCTACTTCCCTCACTTTGATGTGAGCCACGGCTCTGCCCAGGTCAAGGCCCACGGCAAGAAAGTCGCTGATGCCCTGACCACCGCAGTTGGACACCTGGATGACCTGCCCGGTGCCCTGTCTGCTCTGAGTGACCTGCACGCCCACAAGCTGCGTGTGGACCCTGTCAACTTCAAGGTATGGGCTGGGGCTGAATGGTGGCAGCAATAGGGGAGCGGCGGCTGATAGGACAGCATCTGGGACAAGCAAGGAGGTTATGGGGCCCCTCATGACAAGGGGACTAGGTGTCTACTCCATGGTCTGAAACTTCCTGTCTCCACAGCTCCTGAGCCACTGCCTGCTGGTGACCCTGGCCAACCACATTCCTGCCGACTTCACCCCTGCAGTGCACGCCTCTCTGGACAAATTCCTTGCCTCTGTGAGCACCGTGCTGACCTCCAAGTACCGTTAAACTGGAGCTTCAGGGCGTCTCCTGCCAGGCTTGCCTTCTGGACAGGCAGTCTCCCCTCCCTTGCACCTGTACCTCTTGGTCTTTGAATAAAGCCTAAGTAGGAAGAAGCCTGTGTGCCTGGGTTGTCTGCATCTGCACAGGTGCCCGACTGACATGGGGAAGCCTGGGGGAGGTCATATGCCCAGCCTGGGACTCAGGTCCCCTGTGCTGAGGCAGAATGCCAGACTAGACTAGGGAGGAAAAAGAAGGAGAAGTGGAGGGAAGAGGGGCAAGCAGAGTCTCCTGCCCAGGGTCTCTGGACAACCTCTTGTTCTGCAGTCCCTGGCTGGGTTACTCTTACCCTGGGTTTCCCACCGGGTTCAACATGAATTTGCTGGACTACGATGTCCTTCCTACTGCTACCTTTCATTACACACACAGACACACAGACACACACACACAGACACACACACACAGACACACACACACACACACACACACACGACCAGAATTTCCAGGACTCCCCATCAGGTGACTGCTCCAGTCCTCCCTTTTTTCAGAGTGATATTGAATCCTCATTCACCCACCCCTTAGACTCCCTTGAAGACCAGAAACAAGAATGAAGCTGGGGGGATGAATGGTGCCAATGCAGACACCAGACAAGTCTGGGTAGGTGCCACACCTCATGCCCACGCTTTGGACAGTCATGTCTGAGGACCATAAAGAGGTGAAAACTTAATCACTGGGACAGGCTTGGCACTCATTTCCCAGCCCCGCCCTGACGCCCCTCTCCACAGTAGAGACAAGGTTCAGAGGCAATGGAGCACAAGCGAGTGTGTCCACACACACAAGCCTTCTCCTACAGAGCAGGCTCTGAGCCTGGAGCAGCAGCAGGCTTGGCAGCAGTCCATCCAAGCCCTCTGCTGACAGCTCTGGCTTTTCTCTCCGAATCAAGAAATCATGTTTTAGGAATTCCTATCTCAGGCCCTCTCAGGTAATGATGTCCTTAATATCCCTTGTACATCAGGGTGGGCCCTACTAGACAACAGCTAAAAATGGAGCACCCTCCCACAACCGTGATGGTAGGCAACAGGTGGCCTACATCCAAAAATGTCTGCTCTCCTTTTCTCCATTGCTTGTTTCCTCCTATCCTTCCTTCGGTTTCTTTTTTCTCTTTTTAGGGCTTCATGTAGCCCAGGCTGGACTAAAATACCTTATGTAGCCACGGATGACCTTGAGCTCCTGATCCTCTTGCTTCTAACTCCTGAGTGCTGAGATTTAAAATGTGTGCCTTCATGTCCAGTCTGTGCAGTGCTTAGGAACTGTACTCAGGGCTGGATAAGTTCATATATATATATATATGTGTGTGTGTGTGTGTGTGTGTGTGTGTGTGATACTATATACACACATTCATGCACAAATGTATACATACATGCATGCATATGCACGTATTGCACAAACATTCTATCAACAGAGCTATGTCTGTACCTCACAATAAAATATTCTTCAGCCATGGACACCAAAGAGTAAATTTTGTATATTATGTGAGTGAGCTTAAAAAAAAATGTTGAGCAGAAGAAGCAATGGAGCAAAGACCACACAGCACATGATTTTATGTTTGTAAAATATCAAAGTGAGCAAATCTATAGGGACAGCAAGCACCCTCCCGGTTGGCAGGGGCTTTAGGAAGGGTTGGATAACTAATGCTAGGGGGCTGGAGGCTCTATTTAGGTGAGGAAAAATTCAGGAAATGGGTATAAGGGATGACTGCATAACATTGGAAATGACATAAGATCAGTGACTTGTACACATCAAAGACAGCAGAATACACGGGGCTTTGTGGCACGTGCCTGCAATCCCAGAACTTGGGAGGTAGAGCATATCCACACACAGACACACACATTTAGTGTAGACTGACACAGAGCACCAAGTGAGTGAGCCACTACCCTTGCTATCATCATTGACACAGTATAGGCATCCATAAAGCTATTGTCCCCAAAGGAACTTGTCCTGGGATCCAGGCATATATTACTTCTCATCCACTTTATTATTGTAACTCTAAGAAGAACACATTTTTAAATTTTAATAAATTTGGAATTTATTAAAAGGGATTGCATTGGGGGGGAAGGGAGTGTAGAGCCAGGATCTCATTATGTAGTTCAGGCTTGTCTGAAATGCCTATGTAGACCGGGATGGTCTTGAACTCACAGAGATCTCTTTGCCTCTCACTCCTGGGTGCTGGGATTAACCTGTGCCTCTGCCACCACACCAGGTTTAAAGGGCTTTTTAAGGTAGATTTGAATTTGTTATATTCTATATTTATCCGCATGGGTGTTTTGACTGCATGAATGCAGCCCGCGGAGGACAGAAACAGGAATCATATCCGCTGGATCTGGAGTTATACAATTGTGACCTGCCCTGTAGGTGGTAGGTATGAAACCCAGGTCCTCTGGGAAAACAGCCAGTGCTCTCAACTGCTGAGACATCTCTCCAGCCCCTTTAAATATAGATTGAACTACGTGAAATTTAATAAAAAAGAGACGTGCTCCAGGGGAAAACTAAGGTAGACCCAAGTAAGGCTATGGGACTACTCGAGGGAAAGTTACGCCAAGAAGAAATCCTTTTCACTACTGAATGAGAAAGGGACGGACACCTATGAAATATCCTAAGGACTCGGGGGTCAGGTTAAATTGGCAGAGCCAAAATACACATAAATTGTAATGTGGTAGTACATATTAGATACATTTGTCCATAGAGCTTTGGGGCTCAGGGGGACAAAGGGCTGTAAGTCCAAGATAAACCCAGCACCTAGGCGAGCTCGAACGCAGCGGCGCCCCCTGGCGGCACCCTGGCTTTCCGGGAATCTGCCCACAGCCGGGAAGCCTGGAGAGAGGACACAGCTCAGTGAAGATGTCTCTGTCCCAGACTGAGCGCGCTCTGGTTCTCGCGCTATGGAAAAAGATGAGCACCAATGTTGGAATCTACACGACCGAGGCCTTGGAGAGGTAAAGGCCCCCGTCGGGCGCCCTCGGGCTCACCTTCCAATGGACGGCCGGGCAAAGGCGGGTTCTCTACACCTCCCGGCCAGGATGCACCCAACTCAGTTTTCCCACAGGACCTTCATGGCTTTCCCTGCCACCAAAACCTACTTCCCACACTTCGACCTGAGTCCCGGCTCTAGGCAGGTTAAAGCCCATGGCCAAAAGGTGGCTGATGCTCTGACTCTCGCTGCCCACCACCTGGACGACCTGCCTGGTTCTCTCTCTGCTCTCAGCGACCTGCATGCTCACAAGCTCCGCATAGACCCCGCCAACTTTCAGGTGGGTTCTGGGACGGAGCTGCTCTGGTGGCTGCTGCAGAGGAGGGTGCCTTCAAGTCTGGGTGTCAGGGAGAGATAAAAGCAAGGCGGGACGATTCTTTCTCTAATCCAGTTCTTCAGCCACTGTCTGCTGGTGACTCTTGCCCGACACTATCCTGGGGACTTCAGCCCAATGATGCACGCCTCCCTAGACAAGTTCCTGAGCCTTGTGACTTTGGCACTGGTCTCCAAATATCGCTGAGGATGAATCCTGGGATCCCAAAGCAAGGTTCCAAGAGGCTGGAATTTCAGCCAAGCTGGAGTCATAGACCTCCCGTGAAAGCGGGCAGGTCTTTGTATTGTGGTTTGGTTTTTAGTTTGTTTTGTTTTTGTTTTTTGATAGGATTAATGGTCTTGTGTAACCCAGCCTGGCCTCTCAGATCCATAATTTAGACTAGGCTGGTTTTGAACTCCCATCTCCAACCTACCCCTTGCCCTATGCCCACCCACCATGGATTACAAAGCATGCCTGCCTCACCACACCTGGCTCCACAGACTCTTTTTATTTTAATTTAACCCTTTGTCTGTGTTCTGTGTTGGAGGTGGGAAGAGGGGCCTCCTGCATGCAGAAGTGCTCTAAGCTGTAGAAAGTGTAGCTGCCAGAGAAAATACGGGCAGGTAGTGAATGAATTCAATCTTTAGAGCAGGAAGACAGGATCTGTGTAACACACTGCGAAGAGTAAAGAGCCGGGTGGTAGCAGGAAGACCACCTGCAGCTGGAGGGCCTGTACCTCCACATGTCCCCAAGCATCTGGGGAGCCTCAAGCCATCTCCACCTTGGAGCATCTATGGCCCCTACTCACAAATGCATGCCTTTAGCCTTGGCCGCATCAGTTGCAGAATGGTCACTTTTGTGTCTCAAAGGGGTGACAGGTACAAAGGTCACAGGTCAGCATAAAGGACAATGTTCAAAACAACCCTATTTCCCAGGCATCACCCTCCCCTGGGTGCTGTGGAAGAATCCTTTTCTACACTATGACTATGTACGATCGCCATTGCTAATAAAAAACTGACAGGCTGGTGACTGGGCAGGAAGTCAGGCTGGAAAGTCAAACTGAGAAAGCAGGGAAGAAGGAGGGCAGAGTGAGGAGACACCAGCCAGCTGCCCAGAAAGCAAGACATGCTAGAGGACAAGTAAAGCCACCAGCCACATGACAATACATAGATTAGTAGACATAGGTTAATCTAAATGTAAGAGTTAGCTAGTAACAACCTGAGCTATTGGCCGAGCATTTACAAGTAATATTAGTTTCTGTGTGGTAATTTGGAGACAGTGCAAGGACAGAGAGTGGCAGTCAGGACAGAAAAACTGTGCCCTCCACCTAGGCTTCTGGTCTGTTTCTAGACTCTGCTCAGGGCCAAGTCTTATTGCAAGGCAGTCACCTGCCTAGATACATACATGGAGATCACAGCTTTAGATGCTGGTCAATGAGGGTGAGCATGGATGCCCAGGATACACTGGGCACTGTGCCAGAGAAACTCACAGTCACGAACTCCTGCCTGCTCAGCCCAGCCATGCCCAGGGTGTGTGGGTATGTGGGTGTGTAATTTCGGGTATCAGGGAGGCTGTGGTTAAAGCATTCCGTGCAAGACTCAACTGCTTGGGATGAGATGATTGCACTGAAGCCTGTCATGTAGAAAAGGGTCTTGGGGACCTCCAACCCAGCCTTCACTGGTTTTCAAAGAGGGATCGAAGTTTCTTTTGGCTAGCTAAGATCCATCATGACTGTGACAGAAACCTGATTTTAACCTACTGTCTTGTAAGGAGCTGCGGGCTGCTTCCCGCCGCCCAGCTCCTGCATGACTAGCTTTACCCAGATTACATGTAAACTGTATTCTTTTAAACACTGCCAGGCCCATTAGTTTTAGTCTTTTTTTTTAAATATTTATTTATTATGTATACAATATTCTGTGTGTAAGCCTGCAGGCCAGAAGAAGGCACCAGACCCCATTATAGATGGTTGTGAGCCACCATGTGGTTGCTGGGAATTGATCTCAGGACCTTTGGAAGAGCAGCAATGCTCTTAACCTCTGAGCCATCTCTCCAGCCCTAGTTTTAGTCTCTTATTGGCTAATTTTTACATCTCGATTAACCCATTTTAAATAATCTGTGTAGCACCACGAGCTGGTGGCTTACCAGAGAGATCTTAACCTGTGTCTGTGTCAGGTGAGAGAATCATTGTGACTCACTGACTCGGCTTCTTTTTCCTAGCATTCTGTTCTGTTTACTCCGCCTACCTAAGCTGCTGTCCTAATCAAAAGGGCCAAGGCACTTTATTAACCAATAGACATATGACCCTCCTCCATCACTACTGTCCACTGGCTACATCTCAGTCTCATGATCCTTCAGGTTCACAAGGAAAGGATACTCTCACAAAGTTTCCTGGGCTTTCCTAAACAAGACTGCCCAGTACCAGCTAAACCACAGATCAAACACAACAATAGTTGGTGGCAGCACTCATTTGGGTCCAAGCTACTTCCTAATCTGAGGCAGGGAAATCTTAGGTACAAAAAACTCCCGGAGCTGTATACACATTCACCTATAAAACACACACACACACACTAAAAAAAAAAAAAAAAAAAAAAAAAAAAGACAGGCCAGGGTATAGAACTCAAGAATGGGGCCCCTATCTTGGATAGGCAAAGGTTTGATCTTTAGTAACACGAAATAACAAACAAAAAGCAAAGTAAAAACATAAAAATAGGCTATTGGCTTGACATTTAGCTCAGTTACTACCTAGGCCAGGATCAAAACCACAAACTAGACTTCTGAAGACACAGAGACAGTGCCAGAAATACTCTGATTCCTGCCCCTTTTTTGCTGGACAAGTCCAGGACCTGCCAATACAGACCCCAGAGAGTAGGTCAGCTTGTTGGAAGACCTACAGCACCAGGTATTTCTGGGAAATCCAAAGCACAGTATCTTTCCTTCTTGGTGCATCTCTTGAGCTGAAGGTGACTGTTGCCATTTTCTGACACTAAGGCTCTAGTGTGGTTTTTCCAGGGACATATAAATACAGAGTATCCATAGGAACTGGAACGGTGCCAATAGACTCCCCAGATGATGGACACCCACCCAGTTTAGTGAATAAAATAGTTAAAGACGCCCTGACCACAGCAGTTAGAGACCTGGATGACTTGCCCGGTGCCCTGTCTGCTCTAATCGACCTGCAGGCCCACAAGCTGCGTGTATAACCTGTGAACTTCAAAGTATGTGCTGAGACCTGATGGAGGTGGCAGTGGGAGGTGTTCAGGGGTGGGGAGCAGGATCTAGGACCAGCAGGAAGGGCGTGGGGCCCCTTGAGCCCAGAGCAGTGAGTACAGTGGTTTCAAAAATTTCAGCCCAGTGTCTAGGTGTCTACAGCCAGGGTCTGAAACTTCCTGTCTCTGCAGCTGCTCCTGAGCCACTGCCTGCCAGTGACCCTTGCTTGCCACATTCAGGCTGAGTCCACCCCTGTGGTTCAGGCATCTCTAGACAAATTCCTTGCCTCTGTGAACACAGTGCTGACCTCCAACTGGAGTCTCCTGGCTGTCCTCCCTCCCTGGCATCCATACTTCTTGGTCTTTGAATAAAGCCTGTGTGCCTGGGTTGTCTGCATCTGCACAGGTGCCACGACTTGTGCTGTTTTATGGAAGCCTTTAGGACCTAAGCAGTGGTTCTCAATCTTCCTAATGTGACTCTTTAATAGTTTTGCACATTGTGGTGACATGAAATTATTTTGCTGCTACTCCATAACTGTGTAATTTTGCTACTGTTGTGAATTAATTATCTGATATACAGGGTATCTGATATATGATCCCCAAGGGGGTCACAACTGGCAGCAATGCCTCTAGGGTCTAGAATGGGGCATATCCCTAGGCTGGGACTTGTGCTGAGGCACAAGGTCAGACAAGAGCAGGGAGCAGAGAGATGTTGAAGTGTAGGGAAGAGGGGTCAAGCAGAGACTTCTGCCCAGGATTTCTGGACAATCCTGTGTCCTGACTAGGTTTACTTTTATCATGGGTTTCCCAGCGGGGTACAACACACATTTGCTGGAATACAATATCTTTCATTACTGCTACCTTCCATACCATGCAGACACATATACATAGGAAATGGCCCAGCTCAGCACCCACCGGAATGTAAGCTAGTGAGAGAGAGCTGGAAGGCTTAACCAAATGCTCCCCTAGACACACACACACTTTGCAGGGCAGAGTGTCGGTATGATGTATCAGGCTTGGCATCAATACATCCCCAGTTCTCTTATAAAACCCTGGGTTGAGACAGACCTCTGTGATTTCAAGGGTTGTATAGTGAGGCTGTCTCAAAAGAAAAAGACAAAAACAAATGCTGGGTAGGAATGAACCTAGCCAGGAACTACAAAGTCAGGAATTATTAGGAATTCTGGACAGAAATAGCAGTCAGTGTCTTTTCCTCTGGGCCCATGAAACATTTTTGGAAAATAGTCATGGCAGAGCATCAGTGATAATCCCAGCTGCAGCATACTGTAAGAATTAGAATGTGAGTGTATATTAGATTGGTTTCTCAATGCTGTGACAAAAGACCTCACAAAAGCAACTGAGAGAAGCAGTTTTATTTTGGTTCACAGTAGAAGGGTACAGTCCTTGTGTGGTGGGGAAGTCACGGTTGCAGGAACTTAAGGCAGCTGGTCACACTGCATCTGCAGTCAGGAAGCAGAGATGACGGCTGGTGCTCAGCTCTTTTCCTCTTTTTTATTCAGTCTTGGACCTCAGAGTATAGGATAATGCAGCCTATATCTGGGTAGGTCTTCTCACTAAAACCTCTGGAAACACCTTCACAGACACATTCACGGGGTGATTCTAAAACCCATCAAGTTGATATTAACCATCAGAGTGAGTAAAAACATGTAGCTCACACTCAGAATGGAATTTTTTTTACCCATAAAAGTAACGAGATTACATCATGCCGCTGAGTTTTGCAAAAACCTTGAGCAGAAGCCAACACACCAAAGGCCATACAGTGCATGAGTCCAAGTTTGTGAAATATCCAAATAAGCAAACTATAGGGACAGAAAACAGGTTCCAGATTGCCAAAGGCTTCAGGAAGGAGCTGAATAGTTTTGGGAGTGGGCTGGAGTTTCTGTCTGGATGAAAACATTCTGCAACTTGCTAACAGTGATGATGACTAATACTGTGGATACATAAACATCACTGACATACACATTAGAAATGGCTATAATGATGGTTTATATAGAAAGCTTTGTTGCATTTTGCTGTCGTCTCGGGAATACATCACGGGCATTCCACAAATGTCACTGTTCTGAAAGGAACATGTGCTAGGAGTCAAGACACCCAACAGCTGTCCACTGAATTATCTGAGAAGCAATTGCTTTCATTTCAGCAGTAAGCAGACCCTAGTAAGTGTTTTAACGACTCAAGAGGACACTGACAAAGATAAAACACACACTAAAATTCAGTGTATTCTAATAATGCATGCCAAGTAGGAAAAACCTAAGGCTTGGGAGCCCAGGGAAACATAAAGCTCCCAGGTCATAGCTAATTCTGGAATCCAGAGCTCATATATCCCAAAACCAAACTACAGAATAAAGCTCACAACCAGTGGCGAACTGACCCTGCTGTTGTTGGAGGGGTCCCTATCAAGGTGAACAAGTATTGCTGAACCGGAGATGCGTTCTCTAAGGAGGCATATCCTGCATCTCCTCTCTCTCACGTCCTCTGAGTTCAAAGGGCTTACCCTTCCAGTACACGGGTCAAGGTCCAAGAGTCACAGATCCCCAAGTTAATATGATAAAGGTCCAGTCTTTTAACCTGTTAAAATGACCATGGGACATTTGGAGATTCAAGAGGCCTCTAACCTGGCAGGCCTAGGGTTATTCGTCACAAATATTGAGACCAGATTTGGCTATTCTGGGAAATACCTGCAGCTTTTATCCCTCAGAGAATAACAGTATCACAGTTTCTCTAACTGCAGGAGCAGCCTTGGTCAGACACTCTCTAGGGATGCTTCACTTTCATCCTCCTGACTTTTTTCAGATACATGTTGGCTAGGCCTAATTCACTGATAGGCCACCTAGGATAGAAATAGGGTCCCCAGTACAAGTGCTGCTCATGTAGTCAAGGGGACTAGGGGCTACTAAACCCTGTTTTCATCTGATTTCAGAGAGAAGATAATGCCTTCTTCCTGCCTTAAAATCAATCATGGTCATCACAGAAACCTGATTTTAACCTGCTGCCCTATTTGCTATGTCCCAGGCACAGGAATATGTCCTGCACATCCATGTCCTTCAGTTCTTACTCAACATAAGGCAAATTATGTCCTGTATGAACAAGTGCAAGAACCTGTAAAGTAATCTATGTCCTGTATAAGCAAGAAAAAAAAAAAACCTGTAAAATCATCCCCCAAAGCACATGCATGACACACATTATATGACATGGGAAAAAGTGTGGATTTGAGAAGCATTAGAATCACCAGCCAAAGACAGGACCTCCCTGCCCAATACACTGGTATCACCCATGCACCAAGGATCTGGAAGGAATAACAGGATCCAAGAAGGGCATATATCCTCTTTCTGAGCTGGACGTCCACCTTCTCTCCTATGCCCTGGCCTGTGGATGGTATTGGTTGTTGGGCTTCACAAAGGGCCAGGATGAAAACTACTGGTTCTTCAAATTCTTGGGCCTGGAACCTAATCAGTACCTGGGGCCCTCAGGTTGCATATAGTAGATCCCATAACTTTTTGCATAATGGCCTGAGCCACCCCCACAAACACACACAACAAATCTCTGGTCATCTGTCCTAGTTCCCTTTCTCCATGAAAATTCCAATTAAGAAAACAAAACATCAGGAGACAGAGGTAGGCAGATCTTTGAGTTTGAGGCCAATTGGTTCTGTAAAATAGGTTCCAGAATATTCACATAAACCCCGTCTAGAAAAACAAACAAAAAGCCCAACAACAATCACAAAACAAAACAATAAAACAAAGCATCCAGATGTGTTGGCACAGTCAACTGTGCCAGCTATTTGGGAACAGAAACACGAATATCTTGAGCCCTGAAGTTCAATAGCATGGTTAACAGGGCAAGATTGTTCCCCCCACACAACCCAAAACAAACAAACAAACAAACAAAAACCTTACAAACTTGGTAAAGTCTCCATAAGAGACTGAAGCAAGCAGTCTTTCTGCAACTCTAGGGACACTGACCACCCAAAGGATTCTACTTATGCAGAGGGTCTGCCTACTGTACCCCAGTAGCTGCAGTCTACCACATGAGCCCAGAAATTATCCTCTGTGGGTACCAAAGGCCAGGGCACAGAAATGTTTTTAGTAACTTTACACCCTGATAAAACAAAATAGTTGTTTTATATGTAGACAGAAAAGGATCCAAACCAGACATGCTGATGTTGGCTCTGAGGAGAACTGTCCAGGTAAGCTCCCAAAGAGTCCAGGAAGCAAAATGTTCCTAGTAAGAGTCCACAGCTAGTCAAAATTTTTACCTGGGACCAGGTACAGTTTTACTCCAGGAAGACAGCAGAGCAGAGCTAAACTGATTCCCACCTAAAGGCCAAGGGGCTAGAGATGAAACCTACAATGGCACCTGTGCATAGCACTGAGACCCAGTGGGTCCTTCACAGATATTCTACCCTACCTTCTTTCGTATGGAGACAGTTGACAAGGTAAAGTCTGTTTCACACACCAGCATAGCAAGTACCCACACACATCCTCTGTAAAAGAGAACCCAGGGCAGCACCAGGAGCCACACTACAAGATCTCAAGATCCTATGTGTGACCATCAAACCAACAGTTCAAGACAGCACCTAAACTTTTACAAGCATGGCAGGGAGAGGGGAAGCTTTTATGTTTAACACAACCAAATAAAGCTCCTTCTGAAAACAAACTCTAACTCCCCCCCCCCCAAGAAGTGAAGGGAAGAAGCTCCTATTCAGATATCCTTTCTATTTAGGTTTCACTTTGGTCTTAAGGCATTGGTCCTCTGTGAACAACATATACTCAGGGGTTGACAATAAGTCCACCCTGAGAGTAAGCCACCCAAGATACCTGACCTAAGCCGCAAGCCTTTCCCAAGGACCTCCTGAGTGGCAGTTAGAGGCCATCTATGTCTTTTTTCCCATCTAAGTGGAACTGCTTCCCTAAGCTAAGGTTGCGATAGCTATAGCTCTCCCTAAGGAAATGAGTGTGCAGTATGGCCGCCCCCTCACACCCAGAGCCGGCTCTATGGTCTGCATTGAGTAGCTGAGACGCAGCATGTGAGCCAGGCAGAGAAGTCACAAATATCTGGCTCAGTTAAGTGTGTTGGAGTGCCCTGGCACATAGGATGCTAAAGTTAAAGTGGTCAGACATCTGGACAGTTTCCTAAGGTAATGGCAACACCAGCCTTTATCTCCACAGGTGCAGGGTCCTAGTGAAGTGCCTCTAGAGTAGAGGACAGCACACACCCCAACACAGCTGTCATGAGGCAGCCGCCAAATTTATTTGTTCCTATACAACATAACCCCAAACACAGGAGCAGCTCTGAACAACTCTAGAAACTCACAGCTAGGGCCAAACAATAGAAATTTTAACTACAAAAGATGAGTTGTATCCAGCAAATATAAAGGGTAATTTAGGCTGTGCTGAACATTTGTCAGACTATTTACAGTGCCAGAGCCAGGTTCAGATCTCGCCAGCCTCCTTCTCCTCCGACCTCCGCGATGCAGTCTTGCCATTGGAGCTCTCCAGCCTCCAGTCAGTGGGCCCTCGCTCACTCCGCCCGTACTCCCAGGATTCCTCTCTCAATGAGCGCTCCCTGGAGAACCTGGGAAAGTGGAACCAGAAGCTCAGCAGAGGCTGCCATCTCCTTCTGGCTGGCTGCACAGGAACCATTAAGGCAGACCCTCAGCCCTAGACTACAGAAGGCCATTTCCCTTCTAGGCTCAGGTGCCTTCTTATGTGGGCTGGGGGAGATGTTTCAAGACAGGGTTTCTCTGAGTAGCTGTGGCTGTCTTGGAATTCACTCTGTAGACCAGGCCTTAAACTCAAGAGATCTACCTGCTCTTGCTTCCACTGCTGCCTGGCCTCAGGTGCTCATGTGCCTCTTAACATGCCAGAAGACAGCCAACCAAGCCTGATTCCATCTGTATCTAACTGATCACACAGATAATAATTGAAAAAAGAAAAAAATTAAGGTAACCCTTTGATTTGAGGATAGTGGCTTATACCTGTAATCCTCACACTTAAGAAGGTGAGACAGCAGTGATTAAGTCAGAGGCCAGACTGTGCTACAGGGTGAGGTTTGGTCTTAAAAGCAACTGATAAAAAGTAACATTTGAAAAGTTTAAGGGGGTGGAACAATAGGTCAGGATATGATGTTTTGTGGAGAACCCATTTGTAGGGCATCAGAATCACCAGTAACTCCAGCTCTAGAGGATTCAAGACAAGTTTTGTCCTCCAACAGTAAGAACAAACACGTACGCACACTCACATACATACATACACACACACACACAATATACACTTACACTAACATTTGTGACACAATACATTAACATACACATAATAAAAATAAATCTTTAAAAATAAATAAATAAAAGGAAAGACTTTAATAAGGAAAGTTTTTGGTGTAACAGAAACAAAGCAAATGGGAATACAATAAAGTTATGCATGTGGAGTATGACGCAGTATGTAAAGACAATGGAAAAAGAGTAGAATGGAAAAACCACATATGTCAAGCATGGTGGTATACACATTTCATTTCAGCACTTGGGAGGCTGAAGCAGGAGGACCCTGAGTTCAAGCCAACCCAGGTTACAAAGTGAGGGCCGGTCTCAAAACAAAATTACAAGAGAGGTAGGTAAGTAGCATAACCTTTTTAAGACAAAATCCTTAGCTGCTCTTTACCAAGTTAAAGTACAAAAAGCCCAGCCAAGTACAGTGCTACCCAGAGGGCCATGAGAGCTCAACAGCCTTATACTATTCCAAGCACTAGGTGACGCTCTCTATCTCTCAGGGTACCAACACAGGGTGCTAGTCACCCAGAGCCTGTCTTCCCATAAACCCAACCTTGTCCCTACCAGATGTAGTGGCCAAAAGGCCAGCATGACAGACCCCAGCAGACTTGGGAACACAAAGAGAAAAGGCTTGTTCCTGGCTGCAGCTACTGAGGAAGTCAGAGTAGTTACTTGTATTTTGTACTCCGGTCCCTGGAAGCCCGGCGGTGGCCCCGGCTGTGGCTCCGGGAACGACTGCGATGGCGCCGGTGTCTATCTCGGGACCTGGAACGGGAAAACTTCCGTCGCTCTCGGGAGGTAGATCTAGATCGCCTCCGTCGTCGATCCCGAGATCGTGACCTGGAAAATCCAGATGATTTTGAGAGCAAGACATCACTGAGGTCAACCTCCATTTCTCTCCTCTTAGCATCTTTTGGCTTTTAAGCTTTCCTGGGATTTCTCTCTTTCCTCCCATAAATGTACAATTTTGGACTAAAGAGTCCCCTGAATTAGTCTGATGGCAAAACCTTTCCCCTAAATAACATCTCTAAAGAGTACAGTACTTGGCCAGACGTGGTGGTGCATGCCTATTCCAGAACTTGGGAGGCAAAGGCAAGTAGACAGGTCTCTAAAATTGAGGCCAGACTGGTCTACAAAGTCAGGAATACACAGAGAAAACATGTCTCAAAAAACCAAAACACAGGATTTAGACACTCCTAGTTGGTCTGTAGGCCTCAGCAGAAGCTCCAGGCCTTCTTTCCTTGTAGTGGTGGTAATGGAATATGTGTTTCTGTTGTGCTAAATCCTAAGCAATGCTCTTCACAAATCAATCTTGCCTACCTAAGTTGTGAAGCTGTTAACATCAGTTATTAAATGTTTCTGCATAAGAAAGTATTCAACTTGAAAACCCTGTGATAGATCTGAAAACCTACCTCCTGCGATCGCGGGTTCTTGATCCAGACCTAAACAGGAAAATAAAAAACACCATTAATCCCACCACCAAGGAGCCGAGGCAGATGGATCACTATGAGTTTAAAGCCAGCCTGGTCTACAGAGTTCTAGGCCAGTCAAAGCAACATAGTAAGATCCTATCAAAACAAAAAAAAGTGTCCCTCGAGATAGCATAGTTACTTCTGGCTCTCATCTCTTCTTTCAACTCAAATTAGATCCAACACATCTATCTGAGTATGTCTCAGGCACCTCAAACTGAATATAGCCAAATTCTACCCCTATTCCTCATTCCATCCTCCCTGTCCAAGGTAAGGGAAAATTCCAGATTAGAAACCAAGAGGCCAATTGAACACGGTACTGGGTGCACACCTTTGATCTCAGCATAGAGAAGAAAAGACAGGCGGATGCCTGAGGCTACAGAATAAGTTTTATGACAGCCAGGGATATACAAGCAACAAAACAAAAAGAAAAGAGACCATGAGGCCAGCTGCACTCCTTCTCCTCACACGACCCCAAGTCCAGTCAGTTCTACCCCAAATACCTTAGCCCAGATCACACCACTCACACTCTTCTTGCCTCGAAAATCAGAACCTCACTGGTGTTTGGGGGGCGGGGGAGGCTTTTGCTCAACACCTTAACACTCTGCTTCTCAAGCAACTACGTCTTATAGGAAACTCTGTCCTGTGGCCCCATGTGACCAATTCAAAAAAATAAAGGGGGAGGAGACATACAAAGCCTCCACCCCTTCACTTCAAAGCTGACAATTTTTTTTGTTTGTTTGTTTGTTTGTTTGTTTTGTTTTTGGTTTTTCGAGGCAGGGTTTCTATGTGGTTTTTTTTTTTTTTTTTGGAGCCTGTCCTGGAACTAGCTCTTGTAGACCAGGCTGGTCTCGAACTCACAGAGATCCGCCTGCCTCTGCCTCCCGAGTGCTGGGATTTTTTTGTCCATAGCAATGCACTGCCATGAGACTACAGCTTAGCAGCAGATCCATTGTTGCCTTCCCTATTTGCTGAAGGTTCTATGCCCAGCTGTCAGAGCCGGCTCTGTGGGGTCCAAGGATGGCTGGGGTGGGTGGCTCACACCTTTAATCCTAGTACCCAGAAGGCAGAGGCAAGTGCATCTCTGTGAGTTTGAGGACAGCCAAGTCAACACAAAAACTCTGTCTTGGGGGGAAGAGGGGAGAGTAACTCTCCCTAGTTTCTTCCTCCCTTGTTTAAATCAATGTCATACCTCACCAGACTGAGTATGTTATAGATGTAATAATTTTTCTTTTAAAGGCCACCCCAGAGCCAGGTTGATGGCACATGCCCTAATCTCAGCTATTAGAAGGCAGACACAGGCACATCTCTGCAAATTCTAGGCCAGCCTGGATTACATAGTGAGACCCTATGTGGTATCCCCAAAGGGAGTGGCACTATTAAGAAGTATGGCCTTGTTGGAAGAAGTCTGTCACTGTGTGTGTAGGAGGGGACCAGGAGGGTTGGCTTTGAGGTCTCCTATGCTCAACACACCACCCAGGGTCTCAGACTTCTTACTGCCTGTGGGTCAAGACAGAGAAACCCTCAACACTTTTGCCAGTACCATGTCTGTCTGCATGTTGCCTTACTTCCCACCACAATGATAAATTGACTCCACAATCAAATATTTTCCTTTGTAAGAGTTAACGTGGTCACAGTGTCTCTTTACAGCAATAGAACCACTAAGATACCCTATCTCTAAATTAAAAACACACACACACACACACACACACACACACACACACAAGTAAATAACTGCCGATTCTTTGTATGGTAAACACTGACTATTCCAGGTCACAACATGGCAAACAGCAGTTTCCTAAGGCTGGCCCACACTTACCTCCTGCTCAGGCGCTCCTCTCGCTCTCTCTCCTCTCTTCTCCTCAAGCGATCCTGATTTCTCTTTTCCTGCTTTTCAGCCACAGTTTTCTAAATAAATGAAAAATGGGTGGGGGGAGCAACAACTTTTAGGAAACAATATATTCATTTTTAAAACTAACGGAAGCCGGGCGGTGGTGGCACACACAATCTCAGTACTCAGGAGACAGAGGCAGGTGAATCTCTCTGTGAGTTCTAGGTTAGCCTGGTCTACAAGAGCTAATTTCAGGATAGTTAGGGCTGTTACAGAGACACCTGGCTCAAAAAAAACAAAATATCCCTAACAGAACAAATGAAAAAAAAAATTAAATCATTTTATACATTTGGTTACAAATTACGAAGGAGGGGGGTGGGCTGAACTTTTAAGTCACAGGGAATTGATCACAATGCTTCAAACCAAACCATCAAGTTAGCTGTTTATCCTACAGCCTCTCTATAAGCATTGTAGTAAAAAAAGAAACATGAGTCAGACCACATACACGCTGCTGCTGGGAGTGGAACTCTTAGGTAGCTAGAAGCAACTCACTTCTGATGTGGTAAGTGCATCAGCACAATTGCATATTCAATTCATTAGGCTCGATCCTAAATGTGACAGAAGCCAGAAGGCTCTGATACACTTTACCATCAAATCAGCATCAACTTAAGCCAGCTGAAAAGGGCTAAGAACCTTTATAACCCACCACTAACACTAACAAATCCTGTAATACACCATCTGGGCAGAGTGGATGAAAACACAGTCCTGAAAGGGAGAGTAAGTCATACCCCATGATACAAAAACCTACCAGTCCTCCCTGCTTAGAGCCTGGGATAGCATAGAAAATCTCTATGCCCAGTGAGTAAAGCAAGTACCCTCTAGATGAGAGGACACAGGAAGGCCCAGGCAAACTGTTCTGTCCATCACCACACCTCTACACCTCCAACTCGGTCATCCTTCATCTGAGCTAGGCATACAGGTTATCAGTTTCTTTTCACACCTTCCTAAAGCAGGTATGGCTGAGAATAGACCCCTAGGTGTGGCATCACTTCCTTCCCCACATCTACAATTCACCTCACATGACCAGCATATCAAACTCATACTGGCAAAGATGCAAAGTAGTACATTAAAATGCTTTTGGGAAAGGCAGAAGCAAATGTTTTTGTTAAGGCAAGGTTTCAACAGATGGATCTTAAACTGCCCAGTTAGCTGAAGATGATCTTAAAATTCTGATCTTCTGCTAGGCAGTGGTGGAGACACTTTTAATTCCAGCACTTAGATAGAGCCAAGCAGATCTATGTGAATTCAATGCCAGTTTGGTCTACAGAGCAAGTTCCAAGATAGCAAGGGCTACACAGAGAAACCCTGCCTGAAAAAAAAAAAAAAAAAAAACAACAACAACAACAACAACAACAAAAAAAAAAAACAAACAACAACCCAGAAACATGTTCAAATTCAACTTAAAGAATATAGATAAGGGCCAGGCGGTGGTGGCTTTTTCTACCTGTGGGACCCTTCTTAGAACGTCTACTTCCTGATGAATGCTTCACCCTCTGAGTCTTCCTAAAGACTACAATATTAAGAATATTTTAATGGCCGGGCGATGGTGGCGCACGCCTTTAATCTCAGCACTCGGGAGGCAGAGGCAGGCGGATCTCTGTGAGTTCGAGACCAGACTGGTCTACAGAGCTAGTTCCAGGACAGGCTCCAAAGCCACAGAGAAACCCTGTCTCGAAAAAACCAACCCCCGCCACCGCCCCCCAAAAAAAGAATATAGACAAGGCCATAAAGAGATCTGGTGCCCTCTTCTGGACTGCACGTATACATGCAAGCAGAACACTGTAAATTTTTAAAAAAGGGGAGGGAAGCTGTGGCTCGTTCCTTTAATCTCTGCACTTGGGAGGCAGAGGCAGGTGGATCTTTGAATTCAGAGTTAGCCTGGTCTACAAAGTAGTTCCAGTACAGTCAGAGCTGTTACAGAGCGTACAAAAAAAAAAACCAGAAATATTATCAACATACCCTCAACTGATCAAGCTTCTCTCGGATCTGAATGAACCCCAAGTGTAACTTGCCCCCGAAGTGGTCTGCTAGACGACGGTCATTGTCATGGAGACCAAGATAAGCCGAACAAACCTCACAGACACGAAGCTTTTGCTGCTGAAAACTGGATGCAGGCATAGAATTTCTATATTCTTCCTATGGTTAGACAGATGAAACAGACAAACAAACAAATAAATAAAATATAAAAGATGAAGTGGAGGCATTTCAAAACTGTCACCATGCAGACCCCAGAATGCAACAACCTGAAATATAGGCAACATTTTATCATGTTGAAAACTAGATTGCTCAGCTTTAGGTATATTAAGAACTTCAATTTCGTTGTTTATTTTAAAAGAATTAACATTTAGTGGCAGGAGGTTTTCTGAGTTCCAGGACAGCCAGAGCTACACACAGAAACATTATCTCAAGAGAAAAAAGATAAATTAAAAAAACTAGCATTTATGTATGTCTTATCAAGAACAACAAGGAACATTCAAATCACGGAGATAAGAATGACTGTTCTAGGGGCTGGAGAGATGGCTCAGTGGTTAAGAGCACTGACTGCTCTTCCAGAGGTCCTGAGTTCAATTCCCAGCAACCACATGGTGGCTCACAACCATCTGTAATGAGATCTGGTGCCCTCTTCTGGCCTGCAGGCATATATGCAGGCAGAACACGGTATACACAATAAATAAATAAATAAATAAATAAATAAATATTTTTTAAAAAAAGAATGACTGTTCTAAGATAAGCAGGGAAGAGAAGACTTCAGAAATAAACAAAAACAAGATGGAGTGGGATGACTCAGCAGTTAAGAGCACTTGTTCTTTCAGAGGCCCGTGGTTTGGTTCCCAGCATCCACACAGGAAATTGCAATCATCTATAAGTCTAGATACAGGATCTTTTCTGGTGCTTTCATCTGGCTTCTGTGAGCACTAAACACAAGCAAGTGAATCCATGTAGGCAAAATACCCCCCCCCCCACACACATATATATATAATTTTTTTGAAATAGGGTTGGAAAGATGGCTTTAAAGAATATACACTGCTCATGCATTAGACCTGAGTTCAATTCCCAGCACCTATGTCAAGCAGTTCACAACCTACAAAAATTCTAACTCAAACGAGATCTAATGCCTCTAGGCTACCTCAGCCACTTACACTCACATTGATACATACACACACACAATTTAAAATATTTTTTAATTTTTATTTATTATGTATACAGTGTTCTGCCTGCACGTGTGCCTACAGACCTGAAGAGGGCACCAGATCTCATTCTAGATGTTTGTGAGCCACCATGCGATTGCTGGGAATTGAGCTCAGGACCTCTGGAAAAGTAGTCAGTGATCTTAACCACTGAGCCATCTCTCCAGCCCTAAAATAAATATTTTTAAAAAGTAAACAAAAACTAGCACAGTCATAGCAACTGGGTCCTGATATACAGGAAATACATAATGCACGTCTAAAAGATACTCTGAAAGGCCACATCATTAACACTTTCCTTGAAGAGAAAAGTACCCAACACATATGTACCCTCCATAAACACTAAAATGTTTATAGAAAAAAAAAATCACTTATTCTGCTCAAAGTAAAATATATCAAACAAAAGGAAAGAGGCTTGGCACACTGCTTCTGGTACTTGAACTCCAGTTAGAACACTGCTATAAATTCTATACTGAAGAAAATCATTCCTTTGTCCTATTTTTTAAAAAAAGACTGATCACACTTATACAGCCCTTATCTGGAACTTGTGGAGATGTTAATTGTCTCAGCCTTCTGAGTGCTGGACTTAAAGGTGTGTGCCACTACTCCCTTCTTTGTTCATTTTGGAAGGAAAGGCTTGAATGCATATGTAACTGCTTACATTAATTCATATATTTAAAACATTCCCTAGGAAATGTAAGTTTAAATACACTCTCACGTACCGCTGGTTATAATAACCCTAACATGTTCTGATGTTAAAATAAGGCATTTAGCTGGATATGGTGACCTACTCCTTTAATCACAGTACTTAGGAGGTAGAGGAAGAGAAGAGGTCAACAGATCTCTGTAAGAACAAAGCCAGCCTGGTCTACATTGTGAGTTCCAAGCCAGCAAGAGCTACAAAGTGAGACCCTGTATAGAAATAAAAGCAAACCAACCAAACAACAATAAAACCCCAACCAAACAGAATGATCATTTATGTATGCATCATTAACCAGGAATTCTTCCAGGTAAATGTGCCCCCGTGCCACCATGTATTAAGAACAAGGTCACTAGCCAGGTGGTGGTGGCACATCTTTAATCTCAGCACTCTAGAGGTAGAGGCAGGTGGATCTCTGAGAGTTAGAACACAGCCTGGTCTAAAGCGAGTTCCAGGACAGCCTGTTAAGTAGAGATAACCTGTCTCAAAAAATGAAAATAAAAAAAAAAAAGCAAGGTCACCACTATAGAAGGATTTAATGTGAAAACTCAGAAAAAACTGAGAAACTACCATTTATATGTTCTGTGTAGATAAAAAAAAAAGGAAGCCTGTAGCAATAAACTGAGTAAAATCTTCTCTTAGTTACTATCACTAACTTGGTTATAAAAAACACCAAGACCAAAAGCAAGTTGGAGAGAAACAAGTTTATCTGGCTTACACTTGCACATCATCATCTTTCACAGAAGGAACTCATCAACTGATGTGATTCCCCAACCTGTCCTAAGAGACTATAGACCCCCTTTAGGGCTGGAAATATAACTCAATGGTTAAGCTCTTCCAGTGGATCTAGGTTCAATTCCCAGCACCCATATGACAGCTCACAACTGTCTGTAACTCTGGTTTCAGGGGACCCAACAATACCCTCACACAGATATACATGCAGGCAATACAAAAAAAAAAAAAAGATGCAGAGATCCCTCCTCTCTACTCTCTAGCCTAGGGAGTACTTGTCATCAGAAGATACTTCCAACTGTCACACTTGGAGCTTATGTAGAAGGTACAGTCCAAGCACTGGTTCCAGTCTTTTAGGGTAAATTCTATCTAGACATCTCAGCTGTGTTATGAATCTCTTTTGTATTTCAAGCTAAGCAATTACATAAGCTTAGACACAACACAACAATGCCACCACCAAGTAGAAGTGGGGTAAGTGTCCACTGGGAGTATGAGACATTAGATCGGAACTAGCCTGTTCTGCCTATCCGACCTTTGCTGCAAACTTTAATTCCAATCACTTTTGGAGAACTACAGAAAAGCATAATCCTGATGGTCTCAAGCTTCTCCCCCTGTTACTCGGTTCAATGAGCATTGCTCTAACACCCAACAAAACCCTGACACTATACAGGTCAGCTATAAGAACAAGAGGCACAATAATACTTAAAAGTTAAGCAGGCACCAGCCATGCACCAAACACCATTTTCTTATCTCCTCCCCACCCCTGGACTTTTTGCTTTTATTAAAGGTCTAAGCTATAGCTTTGAAGGCTATCCCCAACCTACCTATAGACCATCCCAAAGTCATCTCTTTTATGAATCTATCTTCATCAATATCAATGGGAGGAGGAGGAGGACCTAGAAAGATCATTCAGAAGTCAAAAGCACTTGTTGTTCTTCCAGAGGATTCAGATTTGATTCCTAGCACCAACTCAACACCTCACAACTGTCTGCAATTCCAGTTCTAGGGAATCTGACACCATCTTCTATCCTCCATGGACACAGCGCGCGCGCACACACACACCCTAACAAATGGATCAAAAAGGAGTTTTAGGAACAAATGTCTAGGTAAGCTATATAAAAGATGGATACAGGTTCTTTTAACTTTCTCATACCCATAGAATATTCAATACTAAAAGTAAACTATGAGCTTTGGGGTGACAATGTCTAAATTTTGGCAATAAACATACCACTCTGGTGGGGGGGTGCTGATAATGGGAGAGCTATAGAGGATAATTTGGAAATTTCTGTCCCTACCTGTGAACTTTTTACTACAGTCGTCACAAAGACTATTTTTTTTTGTTTTGTTTTGTTTTTTGTTTTTTCAAGACAGGGTTTCTCTGTGGCTTTGGAGCCTGTCCTGGAACTAGCTCTGTAGACCAGGCTGGTCTCGAACTCACAGAGATCCGCCTACCTCTGCCTCCCGAGTGCTGGGATTAAAGGCGTGCGCCACCATCGCCCGGCTCGTCACAAAGACTATTATGTGGAATAAAAAGAATGTAGACATGGTTTAATAGTCCAAATGTTCAACATTACTGAATTACCATCACTTACTTCCCTATCATTACATTTCTTGTTGAAGCCCAGATTGGCCTCAAACTCACTATGTAGTCAAGACCGGTTTTGAATTCCTCATCCTTTTTTTGGTCTGTATTCTGTGTGTCATCCATGTCCCGTGTCCTGTCCCTACTCCCCAGGTGTGAAGAACTGGGATTATAGGTGTATTTATTATGCCTGAATTATTATACTTTTATTATTATTATAACAGGGAGGCTCAGGTAGAGGGACTACTTTAAATTACAGACCAGCCGGGCGGTAGTGGCGCACGACTTTAATCCTAGCACTTGGGAGGCAGAGGCAGGCGGACCTCTGTGAGTTCGAGACCAGCCTGGTCTACAAGAGCTAGTTCCAGGACAGGCTCCAAAGCTGCAGAGAAACCCTGTCTCGAAAAACCAAAAAAAAAAAAAAAAAAAAAAAAATTACAGACCAGTCTTGGTGGCACAAGGAGTTCATGGTCAGCCAAGACTATATATAAAGTCAGAGAGCATGTTTAAAAAACAAAAGGCCGGGCGGTGGTGGCGCACGCCTTTAATCCCAGCACTCGGGAGGCAGAGGTAGGCGGATCTCTGTGAGTTCGAGGCCAGCCTGGTCTACAGAGCTAATTCCAGGACAGGCTCCAAAGCCACAGAGAAACCCTGTCTCGAAAAACCAAAAAAAAAAAAAAAAAAACAAAAAACAAAAGCTGGGCGGTGATATTGCACACCTTTAATACTAGCACTCAGGAGTGGAGTGCACTCACAGGCAGGAGGCTCCCTGTGAGTTCAAGATCAGCCTGGTCTACATAGCTAGTTGTAGAACAGCCAGGGCTACACAGAGAAACCCTGTCTCAAAAACCCAAAAAGCCAAAAAAACCAAGCAAACAAAAAAAGCTGGGGACGCTAATAGTACATGCATTTAATCCCAGCACTCAGGACTCAAGAGTCAGACGGATCGAGGCCAGCCTGGTCTGCAAAGTGAGTTCCAGGACAGCCAGGCATGTTACCCAGAGAAACCCTATTTTTTTTTTTGGGGGGGGGGGGGGGGAATATTGCTGCCATTCCAGAGAACCTGGATTTGGTTCCCAGCATTCACACACGGCAGTTTACAAACATGGGTAATCCAGTTTCAGAGGAATCAATCCCCTCTTTTGGTCTCCAGGGGTACCAGACATTGAACACATGTACAAAGCGCACATATATGTAAGCAAAACACTGACACAGACACACATACACATATAAATAAATAAATAAACGTTGAGAGAGCAAGAGCAAAAGCTGAGTGCCAGGCATGGTAATGCATGTCTTTAATCCTAGTACCTGGAAAGGAGAAGCAAGAAAATCTTTAAGGATTTAAAGTTTAAGGACAATCTGCATACCAAGTTCCAGGATAACCAAGTTCCATGTCTCAAAAATAAGCAACAACCAACCTCTGCTTCTTTTTTCTTTGCACGAACTTTCTCCACTTCCATAAGGATCTTCTGAGATTCATCCACATTTCCTTCAGCTCCTAGCTGCTCTGCTTTAGCAAGGAGTTTTCCTATTTCTTCATTCAGCTCATGCACTTTTTCTGCCTAAGGACAGAAAATCAGATAAAAACACCAAACATCAATACCTTGAGTTACAAAGAAAACAAGTATTTCTCTTCTTCTTGCTGTATACCTAGCCTATTCCTCTGAAAATATCCAGACTCAGTAACACACTTAAAGATTAAAAGCTCAGGGGGGGGGCTGGAGAGATGGCTCAGTAGTTAAGAGCATTGCCTGCTCTTCCAAAGGTCCTGAGTTCAATTCCCGGCAACCACATGGTGGCTCACAACCATCTGTAATGAGGTCTGGTGCCCTCTTCTGGCCTGCAGACATACACACAGACAGAATATTGTATGCATAATAAATAAATAAATATTTTAAAAAAATAAATAAAAAATAAAAGCTCAGGGGGCTGGAGAGATGGCTCAGTGGTTAAGAGCACTGGCTGCTCTTCCAGAGGTCCTGAGTTCAATTCCCAGCAACCACATGGTGGCTCACAGCTATGTGTAATGAGATCTGGCACCCTCCTCTGGCATGCGGGCATACATGGAGGCAGAATATTATATACATAATAAATAAATAAATCTTAAAAAAAAAAGATTAAAAGCTCAGTGGCAATATAACTGGCAACCACTTCCAACTTTTGGATGGAAGCTTGGAAGTGGGGATGTCAGTTCAAGATCACCTATAGTAAGTCAGTTCAAGGTCAGCCTAAACCACAAAAGACCACTTCAAAACAAAACTATGACAGCCTTACTATCATTACACCAGATTCTAAGCAAGCCCATTTACTCCATTGCATGGTATTTTTGTTTTGCAATGGAGCACATGCCGTTCACTTTAGAACTGACACGTTAGTTGGGTACTGGTGGCACACACCTTTAATCACAGCAATCAGAAGGCAGAGGCAGGTGGATCTTCGTGAGTTTAAGGCCAGCCTGGTCTATCTACAGAGCTAGTTCCAGGACAGGATAGGCTCCAAAGCTACACAGAGAAACACTGCCTCAAAACAAAACAAAACAAAAGGCCTCCTCCCCGAAAACATGTTGGTTATTTTCTGTGTCTCTTTATGTCCTCTGGGAAGGAGTAGTAAAATTCAAGGTTTAACATACAAACGTAGGCTGCAAGCAAAATATCTAATTACTAGAACTTCCCAGCACACATGTATCTTTTCTTTCTTTTTTTTTTTTTTAGGTTTTTTTCAAGATAGGGTTTCTCTGTGTAGTCTTGGCTGTCCTGAAACTCACTCTGTAGACCAGACTAGCTTCAAACTCAGAGACCTGCCTCTGCCTCCCAAGTAATGGGATTAAAGGCATGCGCCACACCGCCACAATTTTTTTTTCTTTTTTTGATTTAATAAAGTTTTATTTTTCCAAATGTACAACTGATTGAACCTGTTTATGCATCTTTACCAGCAGCTAGGATAAATTGAAGGCATTTTCATATCCATTTCTAGGTTAAGAAGTAATATGCATAGTAAATTAGTACTGGCTCACATCTTGTGATGCATGCCTTTAATCTCAGCATTCAAGAGGCAGGCAAATCTCTGTGAGGTCAAAGAAAAGAAAGGAAAGCAGGCTCCAAATGCCTTGGCCACAGACCATCTCCACTGGGAACAATCAGTTTAGAAAGCACCATCTACACAGAATTCCCAACTAGTGTGAGGGTGAGACAAAAAGAGAGTTATACCAGTCACTTAATATACCTTTGCAGAAACTTCTGCACTGATCTCTTCCTGAGTTTCTGCCAGCCTCTTCTTGGCAAGCTCAGTTCTCCGATCACACTCTGCAATGAAGGATTCTAAGTGATCCATTGCCTAGTTCGGAGAAAGCAAACAGCTAAGATCAACATCGCATAGTTTTTTTTGTCATTGTTATGTCTTTTATTTGCGAAGAGAAGTGCTTAAGATTAAACCCAAAACTACAAGTATGCTAGAAAGGAACTCTTCTGAATTACACCTGCAGACCAGTTTCTCCAGCTAAAGTCCCACAGACCAGGCTGGCCCAAAACTTGCCATGTACTCTGGGCTGGCTTTGAACTCACAATCTTCTTCCCTTAGCCTCCAAAGTGCTAGATGAGAGGTGTGCACATCACACTTTGCACACTGCATAGTCTTGGCACCTATATATGTAATAGGAACACAAGCTTACGTTTATTTCTTTGTTTTGAGAGTCATACTATGTAGTCCTTTTGGACTTAAAATACTCCCTATGTATATCAGGCAGATATATGCCCTTAATCCCATCACTCAGGAGGAAGAGATAGGCACATCTCTGGGAGTTCCAGGGTTACATATGAAACCTGGCCTCATAAAAAATAAATAAAAAGAAATTAAATTGCAATTCCTATCTCTGCTATGGCATCTATAGGGACAGCATGAGCTGATACTCTGCTTAAAAATTTATCATCATAATTAACATAATTAGAGTCATCTTAAATCAAATTGCTATCTCATTTACTTATTTCCAAAATTTGTAGAAAGATCTCTAACTCTCTGTTAAAATTACCAAGAAAATGGACTGAGGGAATTGCTTAGTAAGGTGTCAGTCATGCAAACATAAGGACCTGAGTTCAATCCCTCCAAAATCTACATGTGGCAGTCAGCCTTTATAATTCCAGCATTGGGGAGGTGGGGATAGGTAGCTCTCTTGGACTTCTCCATCAGCCAGTCTTATCTACTTGGCACATCCTAGACCACTGACAGAGAAACACTGTCTCAAATAACAGGTGAGGGGCTAGCAAGATAGTTCAGTGGGTAAACATACTAGAGGCCAAACCTGATTAATCTGCATTTACTCTTTTGGAACCTGCATGATGGAAAGAGAAAACCCATTCCCATAATTGTGTGTATGTATACATACAAGCAAATAAATATAAAAAAAAGTTAAAATAAAAACAAAAAAAAATTGACAAGTGGGCAGCACCTACAAAAAAACAACCAAGGCTGTCCTCTGGCCTTCACAGGCACACAGCAGGAGGCTGAGGCAGGAAGATTACTATGAGTTGGAGGCCAGTTTGGGGCTATATTGTAGAATAAAGAGAGGCAACCCACACGTAGAGGAGAAATTCAGTGTGAAGGTGGTTCAGTGAATAATAAAGACTTTGTTGAGAAAGCAAGTTAGTACTAAGACTGAATCTGGGGCTGAAGAGATGGCTCAGAGATTAAGAGCACTTAATCTCTCTCTTCCAGAGGTCCTGAGTTCAATTCCCAGCAACCAAGTGGTGGCTCACAACCATCTGTAATGATATGGGATATGATGCTCTCTTCTGGTGTGCAGGCATACATGCAGACAGAACAATGTATACATAATAAATAAATCTTAAAAAAAAAAAGACTGAATCTGAGTCCTAGAACTCACATAAAAATGGTAAGAGGCCTCACCCTCACTGAGAAACAGATGGGGAAGGGGGGAGGGGAGGGAGGAACTGGGATTAGTATGTAAAAGAAAAAGTAGTAAGAGACAGCCAGGCAGTGTAGCCAACACCTTTAATCCCAGCACTCAGGAGGCAGGCTAGCCAGGTCTACAAAGCAAGTTCCAAGGCAGTCAAGGATACATACACTGTGAAGCTCTACCCCAAAAGAGGAAGGAGGAAGGGAGGGGAGAAAGAAAAGGAGAAAGGGTGTGACCTATGTTTGCTACCACAGTTGCAAACTGTACTTCTGGAAAGATGAAGAGCTGGTCACCTGTCCTTACCCAGAATAACAGCCCCAATACAGGATCCTGAGGTATCCTTAAGCCCACTCAAGTAGTGCTCCCCTACTGTATACTCAGCATTATATATATATATAGGGAAGATCAATGACTCACTCAAAGCAGTCATGCAGAGCCACACCTTTATCAACTAAAATGCCTCTATATTAAGCAGATTCTTAGTCCAATGGTAATGTGATGGAGGAAGGTCATTGGTTTAAAAAGAAACTGCTTAGCCTGATAGGTTAGAACATAGGTAAACAGAACAGAATGCTGGGAGGAAGAGGAAGTGAGCTCAGATGCCATAGCTCTGCTCTCTGAGGCAGACGCGGTGAAGCTCCGACCCAGGATGGGCGTAGGCTAGAATCTTCCTGGTAAGCGCACCTCATGGTGCTACACACATTAATAGAAATGGGCCAAGCAGTGTTTATATGAATACAGTTTGTGTGTCGTTATTTTGGGGCATAAGCTAGCCAGGCAACCAGGAGCCGGGCGGCAGAAACGCAGCCCGCAGCTCCTTCTACAGAAGTAATGGACTCAAATATCTAAAAATCTAAAAACGAAATGGTTACACAACAAAACAAGCAACTCAGAGCATGGAGTGTCTTCAAACAGGCATGTTCTTTAAAAACTAAGTCTGTTTTGCTGTCCCTTTCTCTCCTTTCAAAGTGTTTCAAGTGTAGATTAGTTACAAAAGGACAATTTTACATAACAGAAAAAGATGAGTCTAAAACTCAAATTCTTTTTTTTTTTGGAGGGTGATTTTCAAGAAAAAGTTTCTCTATGCAGCCCTGGCTGTCTTGGAACTCACTATGTAAACCAGACTTGGCCTCAAACATGAAGATCTATCTGCCTCTCTGTCTCCCAAGTGTTGGGATTAAAGGTATGTGCCACCACCACAGGCAAAAACCCAGATTCTAATCACAATCTACCCTTTACGAGAATGTGTACAGTGGTCCCACATAATGGTACAATGAAACCCAACTTCTAAGAGCACCCAGGCATATTCAACCCTGCATGATACCCAAATAACTATGCTCTCTTCCTTCCATGCTCAGAGCCTAGATAGAAACAAGGCCACAGGACAGAGTAAAAACACTTCACCAATGAAGTGTTGCCCAGTATGTGTTAAGGCCAAGTTCAATTCCCAGCACTGTCTTTCTAAAAAAGAGAGCAAGAGAGAGCAAAGTAGAGCAGGCATAGTACAACACATTTTTAATTCCAGCATCAGAGAGAGTAACGAAGATAAGTAGGCTTCTAAAAGAAAAAAGGGGGGTAGGGTGGTTGAAGAGATGGCTCAAGCAGTGAAGGGCACCAGCTGCTCTTCCAGAGAACTCAGGTTCTGTTTCCAGTAGCCACATGGCAGTTCTTAACTATCTAACGCCAGTTTTAGGGGGTCCAATGCCCTGTCTGGCTTTCATGGGCACCAGGTATGCATGTGGTCCACGGACATAAATCCAACTGAAATATTTCTACACATTAAAATAAACATTAAAAAAAATTAAAGAATAAACAAAAGTACCAGTAAATTCAAGTAACTTGCTTTACATTTTAGGTTGCTTTGTTTTGGGGTAGAACAGAAAATAGGGTTACACTATGTATCCTGGCTAGCTCTCAACTTTGCTATGCCTGCCTATAACCACAAACCTCTTGCTTTAAACTCTTGAGTGCTGGGAGTATAGATAAAGTCTCATCTTTACTATTCTTATAGAAAAGTATCTATTTAACTTTAGGTAAATGTCTATAATTTTAACATTTCGGAGAGAGAATCAATCCATAGCTACAAAGAAAGTTTGAAATTAGCCTTGGCTACATGAACCCCTCAACCCCCAACCTCCAAAAAAGGAGCTTTAAACCTTTTGAAGGCAAGTTGGGCATGCATCCCCTGCCATAGCAGTGCTCAGGGGATACTCACATAGTGAGTTCAAGGCCAGCCTGGTTTACCTAGTGAGATCTAGGACAGTCATGGCTACATTGCAAGACCTTGTATCAAATAACAACAATCCAAAAAAAAAAATATATATATATATATTAAGAACTTACATGCAATGTTTGAATAAACCTGTGACACAATTCTAGCAATTTTCTATTAATACAACATCCATACACTCCCCACCCCCCACCCCGCTCTTGCTCTTTTGCTAAAATTTCTCAAGGACATGCCCCTTTTGGGAACTGCTCTGAAATATGACTAAAAGGAGATCACCCAGGCATGTCTGCAGCAGTAATATTAACCTGATTCTTTGGCTGTCTCCAGAGGACAAGGAAGGTAGGTATACTTATAGACAAGCTATGCATTCCTGAATTTACAAATACATGACCACAAAAAAGAACCAAAAGTGCTTTGTGGCACTGGAGAGATGACTCAGTGGTTAAAACCAAAGCTGCTCTTGAATAAGATCCAAGTTTGGGGAACTGTAGAGGTGGCTCAGAGGTTAAGAGCACTGGCTGTTCTTCCCAGCAACCACATGGTGGCTTACAACCATCTGTAATGAGATCTGATGCCCTCTTCTGAAGACATAATGGTGTAGAGCACTCACATACATAAAATAAATCTTAAAAAAAAGACCCAAGTTTGTCAGGTGACTCACAACTGCAGATAATTTCAACATAAAAGGGATCTGATGTCTCTGGCCTCCACAGGTACCCGAACTCATATACACATACCCACATACATACACATACACAATTTTTTTAAAAAAAAATACTTTGTGCCTGTATTGCTCATGTTACTGTAACCAATTTAGGGAGGGGACGGTGGAGCTGGAGGCCCCACATGTGAGAACAGGATTTCTCAGAAAATTAGGAAACAACCTTCCTCAAGACCCATTAATACCACTTTTGGGTATATATCCAAAGGATGCTCAATCGTGCCCCAAGGGCATGTGTTCAACTATGTTCATAGCAGCATTGTTTGTCATAGCCAGAACCTGGAAACAACCTAAATGCCCCTCAACCGAGGAATGGATAAGGAAAATGTGATACAATTACACAATGGAGTACTACACAGTAGAAAAAATAACGGTATCTTGAGTTCAACTGCCAACACTATACAAATCTATCGTGATGGCATATGGCCCTGTAATATCAGTTCTCAGAAAGAGGCTCAGGAGTTCAAGATCGTCCTTTGCTACATAGCATGTGCTATCAGTATGTATTATAATAGACACATAAAAAAAGCAAACAATGAAATGAAATTCAATACAATAAGTTGGGAGTCACACACACATAAGATGGCATCTGCTGTGTTCTAGAACTTAAGATTCTTAACAAGTGCTTATTTAATTACTTTGCTTTATAACTCACAGACATTACACTACTTTCAATAGTAATTGATACTCTGTAGCATGGATAAATAAACATCCAAAAAAAATCTTACATCTAATTCAAAAAACAGGTCTCTTTCTTTACTTGCAATTTCATAATCTGCTCGGAGGGCCAAGTCGTGGATTTTGGTACATTCTCCTAAATCCATGCGCTGTGGGAAATCAAAAAAAAAAAAAAAAATTAAAACATTAACACCTATTCATTATAGAAAGCATGAAGTTAATATGATTTAGCATTTCAACTTTCACTGAAATAAACAATACAGTTTTACAGATAATAAATAAGAAATGGATCAAGTGTAATGGCATATGATAATCTCAACAGTTAAAGAGTTTGAGGGGCAACAGGGTAGTAAGTTAAAGACCAACTTGGACTTAAGTAGCCTAGTCTCCAACAAAAGAAATAAAGCCAGGCACACTGACTGACACATTTCTGTAATTGGTGCCCTTGGCAGGAGGGTCAGGAATGTAAAGTTAACTTCACCTTCAGCTACATAGTAAGTCCAAGGTCAGCATGGGCAACGAGATCATATCACATAAACAAAAAAGAAAGATATATCCTAAAAATGCATTTTTTTAATTTATTTTTTAGATTTATTTAGCTGGGCAGTGGTGGCTCATGCCTTTAATCCCAACACTCAGGTTGCAGAGGCAGGAGAATTTCTGAGTTTAAGGCCAGCCTGGTCTATAGAGCGAATTCCAGGACAGCCAAAGCCACACATAGAAAAACCCATTTCGGGAAAAAAAAAAATTTTTATTTGTGAGTGTTTTGCCTGGTGCCTTCAGAGGTCAGAAGGCAAATCAGATCTCCTGGAACTGAAATTACACAGTTATAAACCATCATGTGGGTGCTAGAAACTGAACTGGAATCCTCTATAAAAGCAGCAAATGCTCTTAACCACTGAGCCACCTCTCCAGTCCCTGTATTTTTCTTTCCTTCTTTGTTCTTGCTGTGGCAACACCAGACACTCCACTTGGAGCTTGTTTTCTTCTTGGCAAAACTGGTCTTTGGGCAAAAAACTGCCCCTGCCTCAACCACTGACAAAATGCACGATGTCCAGACTAGACAAGCAGGATACCGCCCAGCTGTGTAACTGTTTTGTAAGCCAACATTTTCTTTTTGTTTTTTTTTTTCTTTTTTTGGTTTTTGAGGCTTTATCCCTGTAAGTGGTGTGCTGTCAATAAGACTAGTCACAATGTATTATGTATTCTAATCACATGTAAAACAATCATACTGCAGTTTGTAATGTTTATGTTAATCCTGAGTACAGGACTGTGCAGGTATCTCCTGCTCTGGCTGTCTAAACAGCAATAGAAAATTTTTGTCCTAAAACTTATGGCATAGCCGGGCGGTGGTGGCGCACGCCTTTAATCCCAGCACTTGGGAGGCAGAGGCAGGCGGATCTCTGTGAGTTCGAAACCAGCCTGGTCTACAAGAGCTAGTTCCAGGACAGGCTCCAAAGCTGCAGAGAAACCCTGTCTCGAAAAACCAAAAAAAAAAAAAAAAAAAAAAAAAAAACCCAACTTATGGCATTAAATCAAAGCGCAAGTTAACAAAATCACAAGGAGAGGTAGGAAGATCAGGAGTTCAGGCCCAGATTCTACTGCATTGTGATTCTGAGGTGAGCATATGACCCTGACTCATACACAAAAAGTGGGAAGGGTTGGCAGGAGAGATGGCTCCATTGGTAAGAATGCTTGCTGCTCAAACATGAATGTTCAGAACCCAGCACCCATTTAATTATCCAGGCATGATTACACATATCTGTAACCACAGCACTGTTTTACTGATTGCTAACCCAGTCAAAACTCCATAAACTCTGGGTACAATGAGCTTTAGACTAAGTAAAACACTGTGCCAGGTGGTGGTGAGGTACACTATAATCCCAGAACACAGGAGCACAAGAGGCAGCAAAAGCTGGCAGATCTGTGAGTTGGAGGATAGCCTGTCTACAGAACAAGTCCAAGGACAGCCAGGGCTACACAGAGAAACCTTGTTTCAAAACAAAAACAAAAAAAGAAAAAAGAAAAAAAAAAAGGAAAGAAAAAGAAAGTCTCAAGGGACTAGGAGACCAGCGATAAGACGGTAAAACTATCCTCCAGCATCTGATTGAGTGCATAAATATAACTACACAAAATTTTTAAATCCATGCATGATTCACTGTGAAATGTTTTCTTGCGCACAAATATTCATACAATGAGTGGTTGATTTTTACTTTCTTCATAATAGCTATGAAGCCTTAAACTGGTCCTTTGTAAAACACTTTCACGCTAAGTAGCTGAAATATAACAGATGATTTTCTTCAGTTTATAGTCTGACATTTAACTTAATTTTAAATGAAAGCACATCCTACAAAACTAGCATTTATCTGTACTGCTCAGAGACTATAGTAATTGGGCAGTATAGATTTCTTCAAAGAGCTACAAAAATACAGGCTGGAGAGATGGCTCAGAGGTTAAGAGCACTGACTACTCTTCCAGAGGTCCTGAGTTCAATTCCCAGCAATCACATCGTGGCTCATAACCATCTGTAATGAGGCCTGGTGTGCCCTCTTCTGGCCTGCAAGCATACATAGAAGGAATGTTGTATACATAATAAATCAAAAAAATAATTTAGGGGACGGGAGAGATGGCTCAGTGGTTAAGAGCATTGCCTGCTCTTCCAAAGGTCCTGAGTTCAATTCCTGGCAACCACATGGTGGCTCACAACCATCTGGAATGAGGTCTGGTGCCCTCTTCTGGCCTGCAGACATACACACAGACAGAATATTGTATACATAATAAATAAATATTAAAAAAAATAATTTAAAAACTTACAAAAAATATAATCAATGTGATCTCATTGATTTTTATTCTATTTTAGGGACTGAAAAGATGTCTCAGCAGGAAAAGCCACTTGACAGTCTGAGTTCATTCCCCACATCTGTGGGGTGGAAACAATCATTCCTGTAGGAGCTGGAGAGATGGCTCAGAGGTTAAGAGAACTAGCTGCTCTTATTTTAAAGGTCCTGAATTCAATTCCCAGCAACCACATGTTGGCTCACAACCATCTGTAATAAGATCTGGTGCCCTCTTCTAGCATGAAGGCATACATAATAAGTAAAATAAAATCTTCAAAAAAGCTGGGCAGTGGTGGCGCATGCTTGTTATCCCAGCACTTGGAAGGTAGAAGCAGGTGGACCTCAGTAGGTTCAAGGCAAGCCCGGTCTATAAAGCATGTTCCAGGGGGCTAGAGAGATGGCTCAGCAGTTAAGAGCATTGCCTGCTCTTCCAAAGGTCCTGAGTTCAATTCCTGGCAACCACATGGTGGCTCACAACCACCTGTAATGAGCTCTGGTGCCCTCTTCTGGCCTGCAGGCATACTCGCAGACAGAATATTGTATACATAATAAATAAATAAATATTTAAAAAAAGATGGACACTAATTCTCCTGTGATTTATTTATATTTTTATTTATTTTATTTTTATGTATACGGATGGATAGTTTGGCTGCATGTATGTCTGTATACCATGTACATGCCTGCTGCCCAAAAAGACCCTGGGACTGAAGTTAAGACAGCTGTGAGCTACTGTATGGGTCCTAGAAATTGAGCCTGGGTCCTATAGAAAGACAATCAGTGAGTGCTCTTAACCACTGAGCCATCTCTCCAGCCCTGTAACTCATTTAAAAAAAAAAAAGATTTATTTATTTATTATGTATACAACATTCCTTCCATGTATGCTTCCATGCCAGAAGCTCTCACCAGATCTCATTACAGATGGCTGTGAGCCACCATGTGGTTGCTGGGAAATGAACTCAGGACTTCTGGAAGAGCAGTCAATGCTTTTAGTCTCTGAGCCAGCTCTCCAGCCCCCTGTAACTCTTTATACACAGAATAAAGTGGGGGTTTCAGCAATTCTAATCCTAAAAGTTGTTTTCTTAAACATTAATTTTTAAGGTTTATTTTGATTATTTTAAAATTATGTATGTGCCTGTGTAGAGGTTATGTGCACATGAATGTAGCTGCCCCACATTTAGAAGTGGCTGTCAGTCAGATCCTCTGGAAATGGAGTTACAGATGCTGATAAGCCATCATGTGAGTACTAGGAATCAAACACTGGTAGTCCACAAGAGCAACAAATGCTCTTAACTACTGAGCTACATCACTAGCTCCTATTATGTAATTTTAAAAAATAAAACATTACTCTTGGGTTAAAGAAAAAAATATTAAGCCGGGCGATGGTGGCGCACGCCTTTAATCCCAGCACTCGGGAGGCAGAGGCAGGCGGATCCCTGTGAGTTCGAGACCAGCCTGGTCTACAGAGCTAGTTCCAGGACAGGCTCCAAAGCCACAGAGAAACCCTGTCTTGAAAAACCAACAAAAAAAAAAGAAAAAAGAAAAAAATATTACATCTACTGTCCCACCCCACCCTGAGTAATCCATAAGGTTCTGGAATGCACCTACCGTCCCAGCAAGGATGTCATGGGGGCAGCAATCCAAAAGGTGACTCTTGCAGACACGGTCATCTGTAAACTTGACCCTCTGTCTGGTTTCATCTCCTGAAATTCATTTGTGGTTTTAAATAAAGTAGTATCTCACTAACTACACAAGGCTATCTGGCAAAACAATACACTCAGATGATTTGCAGACTAGTATTTCTGTATTCTCCCCATCACACACACTAAGAAACTGATCTAAAGATACTGACAATTGGAATGGAATGCAGATTTTTTTTCAAGCTAAGTAATTTATGAAGACGCACACTTAATCACATCTAACTCCATCATTAAGTCAAGGAGTCAGAAATAAGAGTGAGTACCAAAAGGAATCAGCCCAAATCAGTGTGGGCATGAGAACTAAGAAGCAGGTAATCTACCACATATGACTTAGAGCTGGCAATTCCCAACCAAAGCTACTTATTAATCTTTTTGCTGCAGTCAAACAGGCAGTGTTTTATTATAGAAAACTGCCAAGAGGAAGGAGGATGTTTTCAAGCTCTATCACTGACTCTTAAATATCTCTAGACCTTTTCTTGTTATGCCCCTTTCATCCCCACCCTTACAAAGGGAAGTTGGCACCTGGGAGTCACTTTTAACAAGACAATACCAAAGAAAGCAAAAAGGAATCAGGTTAGTCAATACACACTGTGAACTCCAACACATACTGTACCCATCTGCATTCTTCAAGAACTCAGCTGCAGAATTTTATGCCCGCTGTTGAAAAGTTTTAAAGGAAAAGTTTTCTTGCCCACACCTGCAGTAAGGAAGTCAGGGGGAATGATACATAAAAGTAAAGGCAAAGTGGTATGTGACAAATTTTAAGGCTAATCTGTGTAGAGGACACAGTGCTGTGTAATAGTCAAGGAGGAATATATTTCAGGATTTGCAAGCATCCAGGATTAATGTAGTGTCTTTTTACTGAAAATGTTTTCTTTCTAAACTACACTTTTAAAGTTACTTGTGGAAAAAAAGCAAACACTTTTTTGTTATAACAGCTTAGAAATTGGTTGTGACTCACGGCTCGATGAACATGAGGCTTTTCTGCAACTCCCTTGCAGATTGATGTAGGCAGGCAAAGATACACTGAACCTTTATAAATAAAATAGAGGGGCCACAATTGTTCAGTTTGTATGAAATAAAAATATGGGAAGCAATTCAAAAGCAACTCAACATACAAAGAAAGCTAAAAGCACTTATTGACCTATGAAATAAGGTGCAAAGAATCTGCACAGCCCTGCGAAATGTGCCAGTGTGAAATTACAACTTCATTACTTTAGTAAAAATGAAAACACCAACCACAGCAGGGATCTAGCTTTGCTGGGATGCAACTGCTTTCTCCTGAGACACCACCGTGATCTTGCACGCCTCCCTACACACCTACCTAAAGAATGCCAAGAGCTGACTAAACCAGGGCTAGTCTGGAAGGCTGGGGAGTGAGGGGTGGGAAGACTAGGAAAGTGCACGGAGGAACCCACGTTAGAAATGCTCATTTACGGCTCCCCTTGTGACCGTACGGAGCAGGAACGCCCGGGGTTTTCGAAACCCGTCCAGCTCCTCGGGGGTCGCCTCTCCTCCGAGCAGTATCAGAGGAATTCTGCCACACGGCAGCCAGCGCCCGGGAGCCGCGCTGGTTCCAGCCCTCCGCCGACGCTCCAGTACACCGGGCGGCGCCGAACCGCGGTGCCAACCAAGAAGAATTCGCATGACGGAAAATGGGAGGGGGACAGAGCCCCACCGTCGGATCGGACTCTCAGAAAGGAGGCCGCCCGGACGAGAAGGACACGGCGGCCGCAGCAGCCTCGCAAGCCAAGCGGATCAGACAAAGGCCCAGCGCCTGGGGTCGGCCAGCGGGGGGAAAAAGGAATGGTGCCCCGCGCAGGCGCACAATGTCACGGCCCTCGCCTCAGGATGCCAGGCGGCCTCGCCTTACTCCCGCCCCCGCCCAGCACCTGGACGGCCGCTCAGACTCACCGTCCCGAGCCGTGCCCATGAGCTGGTCCAGCAGGGCCCGCATCTGCGCTTGGGCGGACATGGTGGCCAGTGGGGACGGCCGCGAAGCTCCTCACAACTCAACGGCAGCAGCGGGAACAGCGGCAGCGAAAGATGGTCCAGTCGGCCTGAAGCCTGCTCGGCGCTTTCCCGCCGCGGGGAATGCTGGGAGGAAGTTCGTCAACGTTGTTGGAGGGCCTGCCGGGAAATGTAGTTTGAAAAAAGCCAGAGTCGCTAGGTGGGGCGGTCACAAATTGTCCTAGAGGCTAAATTAAAACTCCAACCCTGATCCCTAAAACATCAAATTCTATTGTCTGTCTGTCTGTCTGTCTTTCTTTCTTTCTTCCTTCCTTCCTTCCTTCCTTTCCCTTTTTGGTTTTTAGACACAGGGTTTCTCTTTGGATCCATAAAGTTTAAGCTAAGGATTTCTTTTGAGACAAGAATGAAAAGACCACCCACCCTAGGATGGTAGACAAATTTGTGACAATGCTGCTTACCCTATATAAACTGTAAAATTTTCCAGCATGAGACTAGACTTTTTTTTTTTTTTTTTTTTTTTTTTTGGTTTTTCGAGACAGGGTTTCTCTGTGGTTTTGGAGCCTGTCCTGGAACTAGCTCTTGTAGACCAGGCTGGTCTCGAACTCACAGAGATCCACCTGCCTCTGCCTCCCAAGTGCTGGGATCAAAGGCGTGCGCCACCACCACCCAGCTGAGACTAGACCTTTTTGAGGAACTAGCCCATATATGTATTAAAGAGTTCTCTCTTTCTCTGAATATTTATGTGGTTGGAGTTTCCACTTCACAAAGACTCGCAATAGTACAATATTTGTATTATTATATATTCCAATTCCCATGGAACTGGAGTTTAAATGTTTGTAAGCTTCCATCTGGGTACTGGAGACTAAATCTGAATCCTGTGCAGGAACAGCAAGTGCTCTTAACCCCTGAGCCATTTCTCCAGTCTACATCTCCCTTGTTAATGATTTCCCTTGGCTCTGCTCACTTGCTTTTGAGAGGGATGACACAAATGGCTCTATTCCGATACTGTTGTTTCCTCTCTCGTCTCTCAATGAACTTTTTTTTCCTCCAAAGGCATGGCTGATTAACCAGTCTTTGCTCTGGTCCATCACTCATAATGCCCCAGTCTGATCTTACACTAGGTGATAGATGATGTGAATTCAAGTTTCCAGAAAAGCCCACACCTATGCTAAAGATTCTACAAGGCCAATTTACTGGTTATGACTGTATGAAAGGAAAAAGGGGAGGGACTGAGGATGTGGCTTGGCTGATAGTGTGCTTGCCTAGTGTGCCCTGGGTTCTACCCCCTGCACAGCATAAAACCAGACATAGTGGTGTTCACGTTATTACAGCAATTGGGAGGTAGGGGCAGGAGGATCAAAAGTTCAAGTTCATCTTTAACTACATAGTTCAAGGCCAGCCTGGACTATATGAACCCTTGTCTAGAAAGAAAGAGAAGGAAGGGAGGAAGGAAGGAAGAAAGGAAAGAAGGAAAGAAGGAAGGAAAGAAAATGGAGCGTTAGAATGTTGCTGATCTGGAGCCAAATTATCATGAGCTATAAAGGACACAGAGAATGAAAGAAAGATTTTTTTTTTTTAAAAAAGCTCTGAGACAAAATGTAGATGAATAGAAACAGGTAAAATTAGTTAGAAGAGCTAGTGGGACAAGTCTAAGCTAAGTCCAAGCATTCATAATTAATAATAAGTCTCCAAGCCAGGCGGTGATGGCGCACACCTTTAATCCCAGCACTCGGGAGGCAGAGGCAGGCGGATCTCTGTGAGTTCGAGGCCAGCCTGGTCTAGAAGAGCTAGTTCCAGGACAGGAAACAAAAAGCTACAGAGAAACCCTGTCTCAAAAATCAAAAAAAAAAATAATAATAAGTCTCCATGTCTTTATTTGGGAGCTGGTTGGCAGCCCAAAGACAATTCCACTACATCTGTGTACTCAAGGCCAGCCTGGTCTACAGAGTGACTTCCAGTACAGCTGCAGTTATGTAGAGAAACCCTGTCTGAAAAGAAAAAGAATACAAATTAAAACTTCATAAAATCGGGAGCTGGAGAGATGGCTCAGAGGTTAAGAGCATTGCCTGCTCTTCCAAAGGTCCTGAGTTCAATTCCCAGCAACCACATGGTGGCTCACAACCATCTATAATGAGATCTGGTGCCCTCTTCTGGCATGTAAACATACATGGAAGGAATGTTGTATACATAATAAATAAATAAATCTTTAAAAAAAAAAACCTTCATAAAATCTTTCCCAGATTGGGGCACGGTATTCAGCAGGAATGTTGAGACATGATGGTTTGAAAGAAAATGGCGCCCCATAAGCCCATGGGAAGTGGTACCATTAGGAGATGTGACCTTGTTGGTGTAGGTGAGGTGTTGGAGAAAGTCTGTCACTGGGTCAGATTTTGAGGTCTCAGATGCTCAAGCCAGGACAGTGTCTTACTTGCTCTTCCTGTTGCCTGCCAATCCAGATGTAGAAGTCTCAGCTACCTTTGGCATAATGTCTGCCTGCATGCCACCTGCAGGCCGTCATGCTCCCCACCATGATGATAAGGGACTAAACCTCTGAACTGTGAGCCAGGTGTTAATCCCACTGGTCAAGAATAAGACCACTACCACAATTTAAAACCAAATTTGTGCCAGGCCTCCTTAGCCTCCTTATTCCCCAGGGAAAGGTGAGTACCATTCCACGGCCCCACGACACAGGACAATCAGACGTGATAGGGAGTCAAATCAAAGCGGAAACTAAGTTTATTACTGTGAGCGTCAGCTTAAATAGCTTAAGTGACATCGTGTGATGTGGGTGTACCTCCAGCCAATGAGAGACAGTCAAGCCCTCCCTCTAGCTGAGGGGCATCTACCTAGATTTTGCTGTCTCATCCTCACTCAGTTCCCTTAAACTCGAGCCAGGCTTTTCTCTGTCCTATAGGCCTTGAGGTACAGGCCCTGAGATACTTTTGGCCCAACAATTTGAAATACTGGCCAGATGTATGGATTCTGGCCAGGTCCATCTTTGGGTGTCCAGCAGATGGCCCCAATCAGGTTTTGCAGCAGCTTAAGTATTTCCCATCAGGTCCAATCAGGAACAAGAATACATCCTGACTTATGTCCTCCAGCCTACATGCAACCAGGGGCAAGCATACATCTTGGCATATTTCTGCCTCTGAACCTCCTGCCCACCTGTGATCCAGCACATTTGGTGCAGAATGGTCAAACCAAGGGAGTGAAAACAGGTGGCTCATTATCTCCCATAAACAATAGCTTCCAGCATTTCAGGGACTGTCTGTCCTGGGGCAAGGGGCTTGCAGGTCAGAGGCAATTTGTTGTTGTTGTTTCATGGATCTCCAAGGCATACTAATTAAAACTTAAAATGTAACTTTGGCTCTCACACAGCCCCAATAAAATGTTTTCCTTTATAAAAAGTTGCTGTGTTCATGGATCTCTTCACAGCAACAAAACCCTAACTAAGACAAGGGGCGACCTGATTCTATATTCCTGTGCCATGGGCACTTGCATATTTGACTTAAGAACAAAAATCGCTTATCCCTTTCTAGGCAAGAGCTATGTCTTTTTTTTTTAAATATTTATTTATTTATTATGTATACAATATTCTGTGTTTATGCCTGCAGGCCAGAAGGGGGCACCAGACCCCATTACAGATGGTTGTGAGCCACCATGTGGTTGCTGGGAATTGAACTCAGGACCTTTGGAAGAGCAGGCAATGCTCTTAACCTCTGAGCCATCTCTCCAGCCCCTGTCTTTTTTTTTTTAATATTTATTTATTTATTATGTATACAATATTCTGTCTGTGTGTATGCCTGCAGGCCAGAAGAGGGCACCAGACCCCATTACAGATGGTTGTGAGCCACCATGTGGTTGCTGGGAATTGAACTCAGGACCTTTGGAAGAGCAGGCAATGCTCTTAACCTCTGAGCCATCTCTCCAGTCCAAGAGCTGTGTCTTTGTGTTGGCAAATTACCGGTAAGTGTCAAAGCCAAACAAGAGGCTGAAGATGTGGTTCTGTAGTAAGATGCGCACACTGTTCCTGCAGAGAGCCAGAGTCTGGTTCCTAGCACCCACGCCCACTGTCCACAACTTCCTGAAACCCTAGCTCCAGGAAATTGGACACCCTCATCTGGCCTTGGAAGCACATGCAGTGACACACATATTCTCTCCCCTGACATACACATAACTAAAAATAAAATATTTTAAAAATAAAAATAAAGGGGCTGGAGAGATAGCTCAGTGGTTAAAAGCACTGACTGCTCTTCCACAGGACCCGGATTCAATTCCCAGCACCCACATGGCAGCTCACAACTGTCTGAAGATTCAGTTGTAGGGGATCTGACACCTTCACACCAATGCACATAAAATAAAGTTAAAATAAACCATAAAAAATAAAAATAAAATCAAACAACAAATTTTTTGACAAATTTGAGCAACAAGATATTTAGGGGCAGTGGCACTTAGAGACATACTACAACAAGCCATATCAGCTGTTTTTGTTAAAATGTTTTGACTCCTCACTTGGGCCCACAGGGTAAATGAAAATAGGCTAAGAGCCTAGTATTTCTGCCTTCATTTTGTGTCTGTCTGTCTCCTTTACTTTAACTGAAGGCACATATTGATCATTATCCTAACCCTTTCTTAGATGAGATCCCAGGAATCTGGCAGGACAGCTCTCCCCAATCCAAACAACTACCATAGTAGTGAGGCTGCACCATCAGCAATGAGTAGATTAACAACTTTAAATGCATTGGGGGCTGGGAATATAGCTCAGTGATAGAATGTTTACCTAACATGCACTAGGACAAGGCAGCTGAGCAGTGGTGGCACACACCTTTAATCCTAGCCCCCCGGAAGCAGAGGCAGGTGGATCTCTGAGTTTGAGGTCAGCCTGGTCTATAAAGGGAGTTCCAGGAAAACCAGGGCTGTTACACAGAGAAACCCTGTCTCGAAAAAAAAAAAAAAAACAGAGAAAAAAAAAAAAAGCTAGTCAGGTAGTGGTGACACACACCTTTAATTCCAGCATTCAGGAGGCAGAGGGAGGCAGATCTCTAAGTTTGAGGCCAGCCTAGTCTACAAAGCAA